AATATTTCAAAACAAAATCAATTATAAGAAAAAAAAGATGTGGGAAAGGATGGTCCTTAATCGCACAGGGGCGTATTTTTCAGCTTCGAAACTTTGTATGTTCTTGAAGCCCTATGCCTGACGAAAGTGAAGTTCTTGTTTTGAGATACAGGTTCTGGGCTTACTGCTTTGTTTATAAAAATAAAACACCAAATCCAAAACCATAAATTGTTTTATTATTTTCGCCAACTTTTCGCACTTTTCTTTTGTGTATAGGATCTATCTAGCTTTTGCTGTCGGGTCTCTTTATCTTTGCTGTCGACGCCCATTATGCAAGTGTGCTTTGTGAGAAATTTACTGCAACGCCGAAAGTTTTCAACAAAATTACGGCCATAAAGTAGCAGTCAGCAGAAGGCGGCCACCACAACAAGTCGCTGTAATTAAAGGTATCCCGCCGCGCCCTAATTCAGCGAAATTCCGGCCAAAAAGAAAATCTCTTCAGTTATCAGGTGGACCTCACCGCATTATAAAATATTATATAAGTGACTATTTTGCAAACTGCTTAAGAATTCCAGACAGGAAAGGTCAGCGGACACGGGCAGTAAGATAAGGCCCAGCATTTGTCAAACACACAAACATCGAATTCAGAGCCTACGTGACACTGAGCCCAAAGAGCTGTTGGAATTTTTAGATTCTCGGAATGCTGCTATGAACTTCGGCTAATCTGGTTTTAAATTGTATGCGAATTCTCTTGAATATTTCTCTTGTTTGGTACTGAATAATATCTATTGCTCCAGCATACATTAGCAGGCTTTTGTTGCCACGTGTTGCTGCCATAGATACATAGTCCCTTTCCGGGCTAGCAATATTGGCAATTCAATTTCGTTGAAGTTGTTATCCATGGACTACAATAGTGCCAACAGTCGACAGTCGGATGTTTAGATTTCCAAAAAACAGTCATATATAACATGTTGTATAAACTAAATAAATTTTAGAAATATTCTACCAACTTCAGGGACGTTTAACAATTACTTTTAAATCCCTAGATAGTTATATTTATTTAAAAAAAAGACATCGTGCAGAACCTTGCCCATGGCCAATTTCCAATCCGTAAAAGGCCACTTGACCCAGAACCCGCAGGCTAGTCTGCTGGTCAGAAGATCCATGGTCACGGACAATGGTCGAGGGCATCTTTATGACAGCCGGGCAAGCCATAAAAAGTGTTTCAGCAAATAAAGCAAACGACGGGACATCGGGGGGAGGAATGAGATTTTTATACAATTTGCTGGTAACGAGCCATCAATATTGTATCTTTCTATGTTATCCTCGGACACTTTTATGGCAAGGAAACTGTCTGTCCGTGTCTGACTGCGCATATCGAAATTGGTAATTGCTGGGCCCGTTTCATAGCCATGTCCTTGCTGCCTGATTGTCACACCATTCGGATTGGGTTTTCAATTTTCACGCGTTGCGTAGGTGCGAGAGCACTTAACCTGGCTTAAAGGTCCCGCCTTCGCAGCGAAAGCCAGCCAACCGCATAATCATGACACAGCCCACAGTTGATAGCATGGCTCGAATAACCCCAAAACCGAAATAGAAAAAAAGAGCGTCGAACGACAATATTTGAGTGGCTAAAAGCCCTCCACCCGGGTTGCGATAGGTGCCAAATGTTGCGTATACGCAACGTAATCAATTTGAATGTTTTTGGTTTGGCAGCCACTTGTGCGGTGGCTGTGGTGAAATGCGATTACTGCACCTATAAATTATGCGGCCTAATGAAAGCGTCCGGAATTGCGGTAACATTTCACCAAGTTATTTAATCTAAATCCCTCTCGAAATCGCGAAATTTTTGGAATTTTCCCACTCCAATGGCCTTGCATTGGCTCATTCCGGTGCGGCGTTTGAATGAAAATTATTAAATTCGTTAGCGCTCATTTTGCGAAAATGTATCTTTAATTGCGTTCCCGGAAGCGCAATGGCGGCAAAAGCGAAAGAAAACCCAATAAGAATAAAACGGAAAAAGCCATGAAAAAGTTTTGACCGGAGGTAGGGCGCTCGCTCACAGAGGACACTAAACAGTTGACTATTCAGTTTTTCTGTCGCACGACTCAAATGTTCATATTGAATTAGTAAAATTGCATGCATTTTCGTAGTGTTTTTCTTCATGTCTCTTTCGCTCTGTCGAACGGAATTAAATTCAACTAAAATGTGCAAGCCAAAATGTCCAAAAATGGTGTTTCCGCAAAAGTTTAAGAATTTTACCCAAAAGTTTGGTTTTCTTTGTTTAAGCTCTCATTTTAGAGATTTCAAGCAATTTTGTTTTTTTCGTAATTAGAATTTAAAAATGAACGCTTTGAATCAAATTATATAACCCATTGCGTCAAGTATTATACATATATTCAACTCTTTAAAGTCAAGTTGAATTTCAGGAAATACTGTGTGCTTCATACGGAACTTTGATATTTTATTTATATCCTCATTTCTTATCTGTTGTCTTTGGCAACTCTTTTAAACAAGTTTCCATAATCCTCCTAGATACCAGCGTTGGTTGCGTTGAAAAAAGCAGCTAACAGCACGCCTTTTTTCTTTGAAGCAAGCAAGTGTTCGTTTTACAGAAAATATTACACATACGCCCTGTATACCAGCAACTTCGTGGCGTATGTGTTACATTACGTACGGATAGTGGGTATACCGAGATAATTCAGTGCTCAATACAATGGCGATGAAAATCGAAAGATATGGCACCATATCAGCCGCCAACGTCGAAGCACGAGCGAAAAACCTTAAAAATTGATGCCATTTTGCAGTAGAGAAGGGTGAAAGCAAAAACTTCGATTTTAGCGTGGTTTGGGGGCGAAGAGGGCTTTACCCAAAGATGACGTAGATGTCTGTGTTCGTTTCGTTGGTCATTGTACTCGAATCGCTGGCTGGCTGGCCAATTTTCAGCCTGGACCGCTCAAATGCGACATTATTATCACTGATGAAAGGACACGAGCCCGGCGAGCCGAATTTATGTTTATGACGCTTCTATGTGAATAAATTATGGCTTGAACACAACATTTTTTTGCGTTCAATGCTCAGCCACAAAAAATGAACACATCATACTCATCGCAACGTGTATGTGTGTATGCGCGTGTTTGAATCCTTTGCAGACCACTGCAAGTAGATAAAATTGTATTTCCCAAACACTCATTTCCGGCGTTGCCGGAAAGTATGCAACAAAAATCGTACGTATGGAATATGGTATACGACACTGTCATTAACAGGAGAAAAGTTCGTAAAAGGGGCGTGTCCTAAGCACTCTCGATGTAACATACTTTCGTACTTCAAGCGAGAATTGCGCCCTTTTACCCCATCATTACCACGAGTTCCTCTTTCCTCTTGTTCTTCCTGACGCGACGAAGGACAACCAGGCAATTGAATTTCCCGGTCGTCCTTCCTTTTATCCAACACAGTTGGAAAAAAAATGAAAATTGAAAAAAAATGTTTGAAACTGAATTTTTTTAAAAATTGAAATAAAAATATGTAAAATATTATATATATATATATAATATTATATTATAATATGTAAAATAAAATATTGTTTCTAGATTAGATGCAGAATATTAGAGAATCGATCCCAAAATCGTTAAAGGTATTCCGTTTATGAATCTGATAAAAATTGGACAAGATATTGATATTGCTATGGGCCATATTGACCCTTATGATTTTTTAATGATTATCCAAGGGTGAAATCTCAAAAATTATTTGTTTTTAGATTTTGATGCATATTGGTGGAAAATCGTTCAAGGTATTCTGCTCAAGAATCGGATGAAAATTGGGACAACGCTATGGGCCATATAGGGCCTCCATGCATTTTTCATGATTTTAGATGGGGGATACCCAGAAAATTTAACAACAAATCTTTTAAAAAGTGTACTCTTTTAGTAAACTGTAAAGTATTAGAAAGTTTAAAATTATTCATTATGAAAAAAGTACCACACACTTCTCACAGTGTAAATATTTCTCAGCTTCCGCTTGGACAATCTTGAATCCTTGAATCTTTAAAGCACATCCTGGCGATTGGCTCCGATACACAGGCATTCCGCAACGCGATAACTTTCAATAAGTGACATTTAGCGCTCGGGTGCACAAAAAGCATTTGCGTAATTAATTAAGTCATCTGCTGGGTTTGTTTAGGGGCGATATCTTGGTGTTCGTGTGCTGCCACCGTCTAATGCAATTCCCGATTTACGCCTGGCTTAGTCTCCCCGGCAGTTTGCGAGGCGAATGCCAAATGAGCAAAAACAAATTTGTGGCCCCACATTCTTCCACAAGTGTTGAAAATGTACCGCAAAAATACGAGCTGAATACAAGCATTTAAATGGAATTGACATTAATCAAGCCCAGGACATTAACTCATCGTCTTATACCCCATAAAATATCAAATTTCCTCCGGGCAGTTTCCATCACAGCCCATCATAAGAAAATTTTCCGTAATTAACAAACTGAAAAGCAATTTTACTGAGCCGGTGGCCTCAATCCATGTCAACAAAAAGATAGATAAATAAATCTTCCAGGGATTGGACCCCAAAACAGAGGCTGTGCAAGCCAAGCACATTTGTTGGCAACGAACCCGGCGAAGTTAATCAACTTTTTTTGTTTGTTGCGTGGTTTGGAAAAATTCAATTGCCGGCCTTTATTGTTGGCTACGTCATTTGGCGGTTATATGGGCCTACGAGTTGTCCAGCTTCGAACAAAGTTTTCTGGCTCTGACTCGGGTTGCCGCCTTTGAGTCATTTATACTGGCTCCTTATTGATCGTGACCAGAAATAAATTCATCATTATTTCGCCCTTGCCCATGACGTCAACAGATGTGACCAATCGAAGGATGAACGACAGCCATTTAATTGAACAGAAAAATGACCAAAGCCATAGAATGACTAAACATCTTAACACTCCTTGCTATAAAATAAAAAATATAATATTTGAATATAAACCTCCTTACCTCTTTTCCCGCCATATGTAAAGCTGTAAAAGTATTCAGAATATACAAAAAAATGGCTTTATTAAAATTCATACAATTATTCATGCTGTGGCCTCTTCTAGACCTTGACCCCGATTTCGCCAGGTGTAAAGACCTTGACGTTGCGATCATTGACCTTATAGAGTACCTCCTTGCGTGTCTCTTCGCAGGCAAACTTTCCCTCCTCCAGGACTCGCTCGATCAGCAGCTTACCGTCAACCTCGCGGAACACTCCGCTCTTGAGCCGCAGAACCTGAATTCGCACCTGACCGAGTTTCGCCACATTGTTATCCGTCAGCTGGTAGATGTCACTGTTGCTAAGCTTGGTGATGACTGTTAGATTTTCCCGCTCCTTGGACAGGGCGGCCAGATCCTGACAGAATTGTTGCACCTGCAGCTTTGTGGCACCCAGGTTGAACAGGATGGACAGATTGTCAATCAGCACCGTATAGCTGTTCCGGCTGGCGTAGTTGGTCTCCACCTGTGATCGAATGTCCTCCATCAGTTGCTCGGTTAAGTTCTGACCTTCCGGGTGACGCAGCCACTTGGAGGCAAGTCCTTGGCCAGCCATGTCGCTCAGGACATCGATAACTCCCAAAGTTTTACCCTGGAAGATGTTCGTGTTGTAACCCAATCGCATCCCAGCATTAAAATAGTGCTGATAGTGATGCTGCAGGCAGACAAGCAACGTTCCGGCGTTGGAGATGCGCAACCTCTGACCCAGGATACAGCTGATCAGGAAGCTGCCATCTACATTGGACTCCTCGCTGATGTGCACAAATCCGGGTAATTTTTGCTCATTGAGTCCGCAGGCTAGTAGCACTGAGGTTGCCATTATGTGGACTAAGCGTGCGGATCTGGAAAGACATTGTGGAATGGTTGGTCCATTAGTCAATTTGTAAATGTCATCTGCGTAGTTCAATTAATAAATTGCGCAGTTCAGTCCCTTTTTTTTCCGAGACGGGTCACGTGGCTAGTCAGGCCGAAGAGGTTAAAAACACTCGTCTCGAACCGGGGCCAACAACTTCTAATTTATTGGCCAAAAAATGGTTAGGGAATAAATAAATAGGGAATTTTCATTTTGTCACTTCATCAACGCCGTCAGCGGCACACGTGTCAGCAAGTGAAGGAATTACTTGAACAAATTTGCATAAAGGACTTAAAATATAAGGACTATTAGTTTAGTAAAAATATTGTAAATATTACACCAAAAATCAAAGAAAATTAATCATGTTTAGGGCCAAACAAAGTCCACAAAAGTCCTTCTAACCCATAGAAAATATACAATACTTATTTAATAATCTATTTAATTAAAAAAAATAATAACTAAAACAAAAAAAAAAAGTAGTCAATGGCCCATGAGGGGATCGAACCCGCGACCTTCGCGTTATTAGCACGACGCTCTAACCAGCTGAGCTAATGGGCCGATGTAAGAGGCGCCAGCAAATGCTTATTTGAGCCAAAAATAAATAAGCTTGAAACTTCCAAAGTTTATTTTTACAAGGCTCGGAAAAGCTTTTCGAAATCAAGCTTATCCGAGTGCTTGGAGTGCTTATTGGAGTGCTTTTCCTAGCGCTAAAACACAAGTGTTAAAAAACGTAGAAAGTAACTTTGAATGTTAAAAAACACTTGCTCTATTTGTTCTATTCTTATTTAATCAAAACTTAACACTCGACCAACGTTGCTAAAATAGCTGGAAGACACTAAAAGTGTTAATGGAGGGGCATGAGGTGAAAACGTGTTCACAATATTTAAATTGCTTTTAAGCATTCTGATAATAATAGCTGCTGAAAATATTTGCCATTCATTCTAGGGATCACCTGCTCCTATCACCGGTGTTATCTTCCATATCACGACAATATATTTTGAATGCTTAGAATCCGATTGCCAGCTTGAAATGCGATAAATATTTGCAACACGAGAAAACCAAAACCATTCTAAACAACCCTTGACTCCAAAATGCATTAGAAACTGCACATGTTAGAAATCGAAGTGGAAAATAATTTTAATTAGGTGTAAAATCGGGTGGAGATTGATGTGGTATGGCAATATGTTCGATGAGGGCCTTTGCCTTGAAATTATTTTTGGATGGCACATGTCCGAATGGTCTTGCAATTACATAAATGTTTGGATGGAAAACTTTGGGCAATTCCTCATGACGCATGTAGGCTTTCAAGCAACTATTGAAATATTCTAAAGTGAATGGGTAGCAGACATTCGAAATGTTTTTAATTACACCGTAATCTCATGTATTATGTGAACCCGTCATATCACATACGCCCCGAAGCTCAGAGAGCCGCCGGTTGGTCAATAAAAAGAGCTCTCACCAGTTTTATTTTGTTTGAAGAGTCGCCGCTCCCCCCTTTTCACTCACGTCTTGGTAGTGTCGCCCTGCTGACCGCCGACCACCGACTAACTAAGCCGATCCAGTCCAGAATCGGATCCCCCTATCCCAGTCATTCCCGCTGGAGAGCGGCAGGAGGGGTTCCACAACACTTCCGACATGGTCGCCTTGACCGCGCGATAAATGAGCGCCAGAGTCAAATCCCGAGCGCATGTACCCACTCAAAAAATAGTATTTTTTAATGAAAATATTTCGAAAATTTAATGTTTATATTTACTGTGTACTGTTTGCGGAAATATAAACAAATCGAACAATTTTATCAAAAGAATTTCAAGGCAATGAGGAGTGAAATAATAAAAAGAGTTCCACAAAACAATTTTAGAAAAATACTTCCTATAGGCATACATTTTTATAAATGTTTTAAAATTATTAAACACACATCAATCAAACCTAATTAAGACGTTATTATTTTTAAAAATGTTTTCTTGGGTTTTTTAATTATTGGTAGATATTTTTTTGAGTGCAGAGTACGACTGTTGCCGGCTGTTTTGGACTGTGTGGGATCCGGCGCGCTGTCGGCGGCCGATCAGTCCGCTTTCGGTGCTCAAGCGTTTCGTTTCGTTTGCCATCGCCTCCAGTCGAAACCGGGAGGAGCCCCTGACCAATCCCCCAGTTCCCCAAAGCTAAAGCCAGACCAGTTTGTTATGCGATGACGTGCTAGCCGCTCTTGTTCTCTTCCACCGCCATATACCCACTACTTTCCGGCTCGACTCTCTTTGTGCCAAAAAGAAATCATAAACTAATAAAATAGTTTTCTGCGCGGAAAACAGACAACTAACACAGAAGGGAAAACCGGGGCAAGCGTTTTCTCGTTCAAGGTAAATATACCGTCAGCTGTGACTGCCTTTTCTCTCAGCGATTTAACCTTTTTCAATTGCATTTGCTGCAAATTAGCACTAAAAGTGCAGCGTCAGTTTATTTTCAATTCACAAGGCAAACATGCGGCTTTAAAACTCGTAATAGCAGGCTCGTAATGGTAGCGATAGTGTGTCAGACACCGAATCATAGAATTATCACGCGATGTGTTGTTTTGAAAAGGTTTCCAGGTCATAAAACCTGAAAAATCTCCCCAAAAATCAGCTGTTCTTGAATAGTAACAACATCGGAAACCTCACCTATTTGGGGGCTCGTTTTGCCATAAAGGAGATTATAAATGAAAGCAACATTTATTGTGCCAGCGGATCATGTGATATTTGTTATTAATTCGACTTTGACCAGTGCCAGATAAAATTGAGTGAAAAAAAAACCAGAATAAAACAAAATAAGACAAAAAGTTTGGCGGAAATTCTTCTGCCGTCTGAATATAAATTATAGAGCAATCGACGCACGTGGCTCGTTCTCAAACAAAAATAGTAATAGAATAAATAAATAAAAACCCGGGCAGGAACAAAATAAGTAAATAAACTCTGGCAATAATGTTGTGCACCGGTGTTTGGAATCGATGATAAACATGTTATCTATCCATAAACAAGAATCGGTAAACCGAGTCCAATCGAAACTTGATAAGGGTCGGAACATACATCGAACCCCATAAAGATTGTTACTCTCCGGCCCGGGGGTAAAAAATGACAGTTTGGAAATTAATATTTGCCTAGCCTAGCACTTAAAACCAATAAAATTGCAAAAAATAGTTTGAGACTCATAAATTAGTAGTATTTAATAGTAAATCATATTAAGCTAAGTTTTACGATGCAAACAATATACATAATTGAATAAAAATATTCATTCTTATATGAGAAAGTCTTCAATTCATAAATACTCATTCAATTCATTATTTTTTCTGATACATTCACGTTTTTTGTTAATTAGAACAAAAAATTAGATAAAACGGAAAAAATGATTTATACTATCTGTCATTATTTGGTTTTGAATATTTATGGTCCATCCAAAAATATTTAATTTATGTCTTCAAATCATTTTTTTGCACCTTTCTCTTATTAAAATACGAAAACTTTAAAATAATATCAAAATATTGTAGGCTTATTTGGCCAATTTACGAAATAAGACTAAAATATTTGGATATTATTTTAAAATACAATGAGAACTTATTTGAATGCCAGAAACAATATTCGCTGAAGCATACACCTTCGTCTCAAAAGACTTAAAATTTTAGCTATCGCCGCTTTTGAGAAAGAGTATGCCACAGATAGCTACATATACTTTTCAACTTTTTTTCGGAGCAATTATAAATATTTCCTGATGCCCGTATTTGTCATATGCAAATTACTTTTCAATAAAAAAGCCATAATGAATGCACAATGACAAAAATTGCAACCAAAACAGTAAACAGAAGCTTAAAAAAACTAAAAATAGGTTTTTGCAAAAAGAGACGCTGGCCGGCAGTCTAATTTTCCAACTTCTTTTATGTTTTTCTTGCTAACAAATGCACTATGTACTTACCAGTATATAAGGCGTGATAAAGGCTTTTAAACACAGTTTATTGGTGATTTATTAAGTTGTTCAGTTTAGTTTACGAAACAAATATAACAATTTGACATTCCTAACATGTTGTAGGTGTGGGTATGACCGTATATGCATTCGATCAGCTGTTTATGTGGCCGTTTAAACCGGTGCTGTTAGACGCAACCGGAAAACAATGTTAACTATCTATGAGCTTGAAATAAGGATTTGAAAATATTCAAGGACTTTCAAATTGAAAAACAAATGCATTTAGATACAAATATTAATGGAAAATAAAGATACAATAAAAAATGAGTATTAACTATCTTCAAAAATGTATAAAATTGTACAAAGTTTTAGCTATGAATTTTTTACTAACCCCCATTAGCAGCTATTTGCGGCTACACCTGAGCAAGTGTTTGTAGAAAGCTTTCAAGCTAAACTTTTACGCAACCGCCCAGCTGATTTTGGTAGGTCCTTCAGTTCCTGAATAGTTTTGATACCACTATGACGTAACACTAGACCCACTGAGAATGCCGCCCATCTAAAGGAATTGAATTGAAAACCACCTTTTATTTTTAGGTAACCAGAAATAAAGAAACCAACATATATAAACCTATAGTTTTAACCTTTTTTCAGGTCAGGAAATTAGCTTAGACCTCAGCCACAACATGAGCCAAAAGAAGGAAGAAAGAAAGGCACGCTGGTATTTCGGCGGATTGGGAAGCGTGGGGGCAGCAATGGTCACTCACCCCCTCGACCTTATCAAGGTTACGCAGCAGACGCAACAAGGCAAGCTTTCCATAATCCAGATAGTTCCGCAAATTGCCCGAGAACATGGAGTCCTGGCCTTCTACAACGGCCTCTCTGCCTCGATGCTGCGTCAGATGACCTATTCCACGACGCGATTCGGTGCTTATGAGGTCGGCAAAAACTACATTAACACCGATACCTTTGGCGGTAAGGTCCTTTTGGCCGGTCTCTCTGGTTTCGCTGGCGGTATCATTGGCACGCCGGCGGACATGGTCAACGTTCGGATGCAGAACGATGTTAAGTTGCCCCCGGATCAACGACGCAAGTACGTTCTCAAATCCACAATTCTTGGGACTATATATTAATATTTCCTTCATTATTTTCAGCTACAAACACGCTATTGATGGTCTTTATAAGGTCTATCGCCAAGAAGGATTTTCGAGACTTTTCTCTGGAACAACGACGGCAACATCGCGTGGTATTCTCATGACCATCGGACAGATTGCGTTTTATGATCAGACGAAGGTCGCCCTGCTGAAAACCCCCTACTTTGAGGATAACTTGGTCACGCACTTTACCGCCTCCTTAGTGGCTGGAGCAATAGCTACTACTCTTACCCAGCCACTGGATGTGCTGAAGACGCGGTCAATGAACGCGAAGCCCGGGGAATTTACGGGATTATGGGACATTGTCAAGCATACGAGCAAGTTGGGACCTCTAGGTTTCTTCAAGGGCTATGTGGCGGCCTTTGTGCGATTGGGTCCTCAAACCATCCTGACGTTCGTGTTCCTGGAGCAGCTCCGCTTAAACTTTGGCCACAAAACTGTTAGCTAGCCGAGATTCCCATCGATTCCATCCTAGGATAATAATTTGTCATGGCTGGCTGGCAGATTCCCTTCAGCAATGCTAACATTCCAGCTGCAATAGGGCAAACCGTACTACAAACCGTAATATTAATTTTAAGCAGAATTGATTTTTAACCAAAATGCGTTTATTGTTGCTTCATAGATGACTATGGTTGGTGGAGAGATCTTTTAGATCTTGAGATCTTTTTATGGCCAATACCGAATTCATATATTTTGCAAATGTGTACTTTTTTAAAAATAATATTAATAGTTAGAAACTGTTTCCTTTCATGCATTCAGAAAAGCAAAGCTATTATACTCAAAGTGAATATTAAAGTGTTTATAGTTTCAACAATCGTAGGGTATTGGCTGCATTTAAAATTAAGCCTTGTTAATGCGGGCATAAAGGTTTTAGTTGAGCCCGATTGTATTCGTCGTCATTGCCGTGCTGTTAGCAATTAAATATAATTCGTTACTAATTGGTGGGCATCTGCTTATTGTTGCTTTATGTGTAAAGACTGCCATGCAATAATTAAATAAAACAAATCTAGATCAATTGATTATCGATATCACCTATATTTGGATCTGGGAACACCCCGAAACAGCTCTCTTCCGGTACCAACACCACTTTGTGGGTCATACAAAATCCTTATAAAGTCACGCTACTGTTGTGAAGCATCAGTCGTAGAATCATCGAGATGGGTGCTATTTTTTGTCTAACTCCCCAGGTGCTGGCACTGAGCATTGTCCTTCTTGTAACTAATCCTGCCAAGATAGGAGCCTCAAAAAAGCTAACAATACGAAACTTGGAAAAGTTTAACGAGGATTCTGATGAATTGCACAGCCATCTGCGGATCGCCGAGGACGAGGAGAATTGGTTGAAGGTCAGCGGTCAACTGAAGACACATGTGGAAATAGACAACCACTGGAAGGTAAAACAATATGATAATAATCCATTACCAAACAGTCAATAACCGCCTCTATAGATTTCTGTAAAAGTTTTGAAAGCCGCATCGCCCGACGACGATTTCCAAGAGGTTTTGAAACTGTCAAAACTGGGAGTTTGCGATGCAATGAAAACGTATTACAAAGACTTCTTCTACGAGAGGATAAAGAAGTATTCCAATGCCCCAAAACCCGAAGATTGTCCTTTGCCTGAAAAAGATTATCATCTAGACGACTTTCCTCTGGACGTAAAAATCATCAAAAAATTATTGACCCCGGGCTACTACCAAATTATAGCTAAACTTCGGAAGGGTGATGACGTAAAGCTGGAATACCGCGCCGAATTGGAAATGGAATAATGTTTAAAAATCCTATTAGGATTTCAGCATATCTTGAATTTAAAAAAATATATATCATTTTAGAAGCACTGCAATTTTATTTAAATCTATGGGTCTAACTAAATATTTAAATATCTGATACCCAAACTACGCACTTCTAGTCTAACTATTTTTGCCATTCGTTACTAAATAAGTTCACTTTTTAAAATGTATCAGATACATACTTTTAAAAAAACAAGCAACTTATTTCAATACAAAATCAAAATGTATTGTATGTTCAATAAGTATAATTAATACCAATATTCGGGGTTTAAAATCCACTTGAAATGGATTGGTTTTTTTTAAATTAATTTAAATGAGGGAAGAACACAGAAAGCCGCGTGCCTATTTTGGTGGTCTAGCGGGCATGGGAGCGGTAATGTTCACCCACCCATTTGACCTTATCAAGGTCAACTTACAGACCCAGCAAGGCCATTTGTCGATCCCGTCATTGGTTCGAAATATCGTCCGGAAGCAGGGTTTCTTTGCACTCTACAATGGAATATCTGCCTCGATGCTGCGCCAAATAACAAACACCCTGCCGCGATTCGCCGTCTATGAGATTGGGAGGGATTTTTTTGGCCATACCTTAATGGGAAGCTTGGCTCATTCCTCCTTAGCTGGCATTGCTTCCGGTATTTTTGGTACACCGGCTGACTTGGTCAACGTGCGGATGCAGAACGACGTGAAACTGCCCATGGAAAAACGACGAAAGTAAAGTATCAAAAAAAAAATCCATCCTTTTTTAGAATTACCTTTTTTTGTTATTGTATTTATGCCTCTTTATTTAATAATTCAATTATATTTTTTATATATAATTTTCCATTCAAAAGGTTAATTTTGGTATTTTAATTTAAAGCTACAAACATGCAATTGATGGATTCGCCCAAATTATCAAAAATGAAGGAGCTATCACCCTTTTTTCCGGTTGGACCCTGGTAGCGGCTCGAGGAACTTTGATGACTCTTGGCCAGAATTTTTGCTACGATTTGGTAAAGAAGTATATGCTATCAACACCCCACTTCAAGGACAACGTAGTGACGCATTTTACCTCCTCTTTGGTGGCGGCAGCAGTTTCTACCACGCTCACTCAACCATTGGATGTTATCAAAACACGACGGATGAATGCCAAGCCTGGAAAATATCGGAACATGTTGCACATTATCCATCATACAGCCAAGCTTGGCCCACTTGGTTTTTACAAGGGCTTCGTTCCAGCATTCTTGCGGTTAGGACCATATACTGTTCTGTTGTTTGTATTTATGGAACAGTTGCGTCTCTACTTCGGCTACTTACCAGAAGACAAGGAGGAAGATCACACCTCACCACCTTGATATGCAACCTCAAATTTATAGTCACCAGCCTTATTTATTTTGACTTTCTCCCAGTTTAAATTACTTAGCTGTCTCGAATCGTTGCAAAGATTTCAGAGACATCTAAAGACCACTAAGAGTTAGATTTTAGTTCAGGAAACATCATGGCATTGTTTTATCGATGCAACCAATCGAAACAGCTAAGTAATTTATACTGACTGAAAAATATCAATAAATTTAAATTTTTTTAAACGAGTTGTTGTCTCAAACGGAGAATCATCTACTATCCTGTAGACAGTGGCGGATTTAAGGAAAAAGGCCCAGTGGGCAAAATTGTTTCAGGGTACATTGAAGGGTATTTTGAAGGGCCCAGAAAATTTGACAAAAAATCTTAAAAATATTTTGTTCCCAGATATTGATGCAGATTTATGAAGAATCGATCCACAAATCGTTTAAGGTATTCCGTTCAAGAATCGGATGAATATTTCCTAAGATATGGCCTTCGCAGTGGTTCATATGGGGCTCCCCAAGCATTTTGCACATTTTGAAGGGGACAGCCCAGAAAATTTGACAAAAAATCTTAAAAATATTTTGTTCCCAGATATTGATGCAGATTTATGAAAAATCGATCCACAAATCGTTTAAGGTATTCCGTTCAAGAATCGGATGAATATTTCCTAAGATATGGCCTTCGCAGTGGGTCATATGGGGCTCCCCATGGATTCTGCACATTTTGAAGGGGGCAGCCCAGAAAATTTGACAAAAAATGTTAAAAATATTTTATTCCCAGATTTTGATGCAGATTTATGAAGAATCGATTCACAAATCGTTTAAGGTATTCCGTTCAAGAATCGGATGAATATTTCCTAAGATATGGCCTTCGCAGTGGGTCATATGGGGCTCCCCATGCATTTTGCACATTTTGAAGGGGACAGCCCAGAAAATTTGACAAAAAATCTTAAAAATATTTTGTTCCCAGATTTTGATGCAGATTTATGGAGAATCGATCCACAAATCGTTTAAGGTATTCCGTTCAAGAATCGGATGAATATTTCCTAAGATATGGCCTTCGCAGTGGGTCATATGGGGCTCCCCATGCATTTTGCACATTTTGAAGGGGACAGCCCAGAAAATTTGACAAAAATTCTTAAAAATATTTTATTCCCAGATTTTGAGGCAAATTTGTGGAAAAGAAATCGAAGGTGTAACTTTCAGCTCGAGGGGCCCTGATAGCCTTTCGTCGGGGGGCCCAGTGGGCAAGCGCGCCTTTTCCCACCTGTTAAATCCGCCACTGCCTGTAGATGTGGTAATAAACCTCACAGCGGTTTATTTTTATATCCAACGACGTGCCTTCTATACAACATCGACTTGAATATGGAATAAGAAAGGCTCTGAATATCTTCACTGTTCAGTATTTTTTATTGCAGAATCAAATTAATCTACTCGTAGGCCCGCATCTGCCTCAAGACTTCGTCGTAGACATATTTCCTGGCCTCTGTGCCCCAGATAAAGTCCAAATGAGCCCATTTCTCGAATGGTACCAAGTAGTCCAGGGCCATGTTGGGGAGCTGGTCCCTCAACTTGCGCACATCACTCACATCGCACATCCAGTCGTTGGCTCCATAGTACAACATGACAGGAGCCTTGGCATTCTTTAGCTTGTAATCCGGAGGGAAGTAGCTGCCGTATTCATAGGGATTACGCAGAGCAGTGTAGTCGAATTTACGGAACTTCTTGGAGTTATATTCCTGGCAGAAGTGCAGATTCTGGTTGACCGAAGCTCCAGCCGGAGAAGTGGCCTTTATGTGTTCCAGAAGAGCCTATGAAATTCACAATTATGTAGTTTCTTTAAATGATTCCTAAACCAAAAGTAACTCACATAGTCAAGTTGCTCGGTGTCGTAGCCTCCTATTAGGAAGATTTCATTAGCACACATATCCGCAAAGGGAGAGTCCGACTGGCACTGGGCGATTCCCAAATCTTGCTTGAACTGGCTGCTGGGCATAAACTCCATGGAACCGGCCAGCTCTACAATGGCATTGGGCTGACCCAAGATCGGGGCAAAGGCACGGGTCATGGGGCTCTTCATATTTCCCATATAGGCAGCGGGACCCAGTAGATGCGCCGACTTTATCTTGTCATTGTAGGCGGGCTTCTCGGAAACCATAACCAAGTAAACAGTGGTGCCCTGGGAGTGGCCCACATACTGCACCTGAGTCTGACCAGTCTCTGCCAAAACATAATCAATCATGGCCGGAACATCGTAGATGCCGATTTCGTTCCAGCTAAAGTTCCAGAAGATCTGCCAGTAGGTGGGCCAGTACTTATGGGCCTTGGAGTAGGTGTTACCTCTGGCGTTGCCCATCCAAACATCGTATCCCGCATCGGCCAACATGTAAGCCAGTGATCGCTCCGGGCCCATCAGCACCCAATCGGAAGAGGAGCTGAGCATTCCGTGCATCAGGAAGGCGACGGGACGATTGACACTATTGCCGGTTTTTGGGGAGTAGGGAATGCGATGCATGGTCAGGATGTAGTTGTCATCGGTGGTCACAGTATGGCGCTCCATTGGGTAGCCATCATCCAGAATGCGTTCACCCTGAGAAATTTTAGTTTCTTATATAAACCATACAAAAATTTTTATTTTTCAAAATATACTCACGCAATCAGAGATGGGGCGGCTGCCAGCCAAAACCAGGCCCAAACCAACCAGAAAAATTGATACTTTTAGTGTTACTCCTCGCATAGTTCCACTATGGCCCGAAAACGTTGGGATCCCACCTTTTATAGCGTTCTGTGTCCATTATCAATTCTCTGATTGTCGCCAATAATCAGATTTATTGGTAAGCGCGGTCACAGCCCCCCCAGAAATCTTGAAAATAAACATATACATATATAGAAATTATCGATACACCTGGCTCTAATCAGCTTCTGGCTCTGATTTTGATTAAAATCGCAAGACTCTAATTTACAATCAAGGAATCCCAAGACCCCCAGGCTATCTGCTGATTTTATTATCGTTTTTTCAATTATTTTGATACCTTATAATTAAGAATATAAATCATATTGGTACTTTTTATTAAAAGAAAATTAAAATTTTAAAGTAAAGGAAATTTAAAACACTATAATTATAAATGTAAATAAGAAAACCAATCAAAAACCTATTGCAATTTTCTAAATTGTTTAACCACAAATATTATTTTCTAGTTTCTTTTTAGCTATAGCCTGATTAACAGGGTATCTCCACATCTAATCCCTCAAATTTGTATATATCATGCTCACCCATATTTTTTTTCACCTGCAAATTTTGGCCAAAAGATAAAGCCCTATTAATAGAAAAGACGATTTCAAATGAAAACAACCGCCTTAAAAATGGCTGACCTCAACAGCCAGCAACATGTTGCTATGGCCTCTAGCAACATGCAACATTTGCCCAACAGCAATACCTTCAAATTAAGTCGTAAATTTTCACTCATTAGTGGGACAGACTGGGTCCTGTACAAACTGGGGCCACAAAATCCGAGCGAGGATTATTGATTTATAGTGGCCACATATGATTGGTGTGTGAAAGGGTCAAATACACGTATTCCCTAAGCTTGCTGCCCTGACGACGCGACCACAACATACAACACTGCCAAGGTCCTGGCTTAACGCTTAGAGCATGTGTTTAGGATACCATTAGTCGCTGGTGACAGTTTATTTCGTAATACAGACAAGAGTGGAGTCAATCGTAGCGAAAAACTTGAGAAAATGAAGCACCAACAAGTTGTGGTCGACTACTGGACCATGTTGAAGACGTCTGGTATGTGCTTATTACTGGCCGTCTGCGGATTTGTACTCCTCAAGTAAGTAATTGGTTTAATAAATATTTAAACATATATTTTACAATTAGCCAATGGGTTTTCTTTCACATTTTTTAATAAGTTAAAGACTTAGGCTAGTCCAACCCTAAACTGAAGCTGTATTTTACTTTCTTGAGTTATTCCTTTTTGCTTCATGTATTTCAGAATGGTGCAGACTGTTTTCTGGCTACCAGGACATCTTAAGAAAAACCAACTGCGTCTCGATGAACTGGCGAAGGCATATGCCAAGGATCTTAGCGAAGAAGAACGGGCCGAAATCGAACAGCTCTTTAATACCAACGAGCCATTAACAGATGACCGTCTCAACAAATTCCTAAACAAACCAGAGACAGGCGAGCCCAAAAAGGACCAGTAGAATAATTAATAAATCAAAGATTTTTGTCATATTTTATATATATATATATGTATATTGAGTGTATAATCGATAATTCTTGATACAGGTTCTAGTTCTTATATGCATATTGTATGTAACTCGCAAAACAATCAATCAGTTAACCAATCCATCAATAATGCATGCAATGCTCAATTATTTGGGGGAGGACATGTAGTTTAACAACTATTCACGACTGCTGCTCGTTTTTGGAGCGTTTTTAACCATATTTGCTACTGATATAGACGGACTCAGAGCCCATTCCTGCTTCAATCGGTCGCCGCGGCCGTTCATCGATTTCGCCAGCGCCAGCGACCCTTCAACCTCAACCTCCCATTGTATCTAACTAACAAACTCATATCAAATATAAGCAAGTGTGCCAATTCGTATGCATATTTTGCACATACACATATAGATAATCTATTTTAATTTTAAAAGCTCAAAGGGGCGCAAGTCTCTCTCTTCAGTTTTGTTTTCATTCGTTTTGGTTCGGTTACTTTGGTTTGACTTTTATTATTAGGTTTTGATTTTTCTTATCGTACCGTAAGTGTATAAGGATTTTATCTTCATCTTTCTCTGCCTCTGACTGACCAAAAATATCACGAGAGTATTTTGCTATATTACACGTAGGCTAATCCGTTAAACAAAGTGGAAGGTGCCAATCGATCTAGTGAACTTAGGCCAAGTATAATATAATTAATATTTATATGATTAAAGTTCCGAGAGTGCGCCTCCCCAGAGTAGCGCCGATCAGTGGATATATGCCATTAGCTGATGCGGATTATGCGTGTTAACGTATTATATAGGGCTTTGCAATAATCTGATAACTCTCGATATAACTCTATTGACTTGGGGTATGCATTGGAAGCCTGTAATACGGGTTGGCCAAGTTAACCCGCGCCGCCGGCAGAAGCTCCGGATGTTCGGTCAAGGTGTCCGACAATGCGCTAAGCAGAACTCCTGCAAAAATATATCAATTAAATTGAGCCTAAAATGTTATAACTGATGCACATACTCAAAACTTTCTTTTGCAAGTCGAGTGGTATGACACCCATGTTGCCCTCACGCTCCAGGAACTCTGTAAGCTTTTGGAGCTCCATTTGAGCCTCATCAGAGCCGTGCGATAAGGACTGAGCAAACATCACCTGAAAAAGTATTTATTTTTATTAAAAAACCAATATTCTAAGGCCATAAATATATACCTTTGCCAGCTTATACAGAATCTCCTCCAAGGAGTACTCATTGTACAAATACTCTACGATCTTAGCTCGTCCCTCGTCATAATCATTCAAGTCTTGTTGTGCCTCATTGTCCAGCACTTTGATCTTGTTCCAGAAACTGAAGCTGTCAAAGTTCTTAGCTGGTAGTGCTCCAACTCCTGGAAGAATTCTGGATTCGGGATCCAAGGGGTGTACTTCTGGGAATGGTTTTTCCGTAGTAGTGCTCGTGGTCGTCGTTGTTGTGGTGGTTGATGTGGATGTGGTTGGAGGATTGGTGCTGGGTGGACTGTGTCGCTTCAGCTGATTTTGACGAACCTCTTCCGGAAAAATACGATTGGCGTAAGAGCGTTGCAAGAATTCAATGCCAAGACGAATATCTTGTAGGAATTTCAGAGCGTTCTCTCGGGTGATCTATAGATAAGAAGATTAAATTATAATAAACATTCCGTTATAAAAATTTCATCTTCATAATAGTTCCCAAATGATAGCGTACAACGATCATAAAAAAAGATGACCGTACTGTCAGAATATCGATGAAATTAAACCGGTTTAATTTCGTTCAACGCAAAGCGTCAATAATCATGTAAGGGAACTCATAACCTTTCCAATATTTCTCTGAATGAACCAAAACTTCACAAAATTCATAGTAAAGTAAAACAAACTAATGACTGAATGGAAATTGCACAAATATATTGCTAGATTTCCAATTCTACTATGACAGCTTTTGTTTAATTCCATACCCCACCGATTAGATAAACAAATGAAAACAAACAATCTAATCGTGAAATGTTTTGCCGGCACACAGGGCTTCGCGTATAAAAAGGTCAGTGCCGGCAACTGGAAAATCAGTTCGTGTTCAACAACCTAAGAGATCAGATCTCTAAATAACAAGAAAACTTTAAACAAGTAAAAACTACAATACAAGATGTGTCATAAAAATAAGGAAGAGCAGAAGCCCCAATGCGGAATGCACTCGGGAACTGTAGAAGAAAATAATCGAAAGTTTGGAAAGTGCTCCTGGAGCCATAAAAAGATGATGCAGGAACAGGAGACTCCAAAGTTTGAAAAGTTTCCGTTTGGACACCATGGACATCATCACCACCATGACCGTGGCCATCATCATCACTGCTCTTCTCCGCCACCGCCTCCACCAACCCACTGCCACCGCTCTCACTACTTTTCCCACTTCCACGGACTACCACAACGCCATCATTGTGGAACTCCAATTATAATGTCTCCTCGCTTTAGTCATTATTATTATGAGGCAATGAAAGATTAAATTTTGAAAATCATAAGTTGTGAAGCCATCAAACTCAATGATGAAACTTGGCCACTTAAAATTATAATACAATTGTCGATGTCTTTGATCTCGTGTAACAAAAATTGTCTAATTGCAAAATATATAACCCATTTAATAAAAAATATGTTTCCTTTAAAAATAATGCAGAAAATAATTTAAATATTATTATATTTAAGCCTTTTAACTTACCACCTTGCCTTGAACCAATTCCTCGACTGCCTTAACCACGGCCGTTTCATCACCAGTCCAGAATATATATTGAGCCATGTCGAAGGATGAATATTGACCATTCGGACTTTGCAGCAAACTCTGAGGGATACAAACAAAAAAAAAGTAGATTTTGTAATGATTTTATAAATAATTAACATTCTTATGACTTAAATACTTTTGAGAACAATTTTAAGTATTAGGCCAATAAGTTTGTTTGTTAATTTAAAATGATCTGAAAATTTTAAGCCAATCGTTAATCAATTTTGGTTCCGTTTTTTTCCAGTTTTGCCAATTGTTGAATTTTGAATGTATCTTATTATTTTAGATGATTTTTAGGTGAATACCTTGGCATTCATCTTTGGCGAACTGGATCTTCGCTCCGTGGTGCGAGCCACAACATCGAAGACAATATCTCCGATGGTCTCTTTGTTGGCATTGGGATGGCTTGGCTTGGGCTTAGGTGGATTAAGAGCGGTCAGTTCGGTTTCAGCCACATCTCCCGCAGGATCTTCTGGATCTGACGGTTCTCCGGCCACGTCAACTGCAGCCTCTGGCTCGGATTCTTCCTCAACTTCGGCTTCCGGCTCCTTTTCCTCTTCTGGCTGAGTTTCCGGTGGTGGAGCTGGCGTTGTTGTGGTAGTAGTAGACGTTGTGGTGGTGCTCGTAGTTGTGGTTGTTGGCAGAACCTCTGGATTTTGACCGAAAGCTAGACGAGCAGCCCCGTAAAATGCCTGTTGATTTTTGGGTGGTTTCGTGGATATACACTTGGATTTTGTAAAAGATATATTTGGAGTTTACCAGGCGTACAAGCGCACTACGGACAGCGGATTTCTGGGAATATAGGGTAAAGGGAACCTACCTTGGAGTGTGCAGTTGGTTCCACCACCGGCTTGATATGGGTTTTTGGCTCCTCCAGCTGGGATCGTTCGCCCTCTTCTTTTGAAGTGGCCGTTGTGGTTGTGGCCGAAGTGCTAGTGGTTGTGGTGGTCGAAATCAAAGGAGTAGCCACCTCCAGCTGCCGCTCCAAATCGGTCATAATGCTTGCATTGGGGCTCTGGCCAGATTCTGGAGCGGCGGCCACCTCCTCGACGCTTTCTTTTGTGGTGGTGGTGGTGCGGGCGGTGCTGCCATCTTGTTGACGTTTGGCCAAGATGGCTCCCGGTTCGTTTCGCAACTGGTCAAGCTCACTCACATCGTCCTCGATCTGGGGAAACACATTGTCTCCACCGTTACGTTTGGAAGGATCTGTACAAGAAACCAAAATGTTTATAAAAGCTTTATAAATAATTCTTAAATAATATAATATGCATAAAGAAATATAAAATCACCATGGAAAAACCCAAGATAGGCATATAAAAATAATCTAAGTGAATGGAAAGATACCCATTTGCAAAATCAATCAATCCCTTTCCAAAACATCCAAGAAAATTTGCATATTTGAAACCCAAAAGGAGGAGGGAAAGCAGGAAGCCGAAAGGAGAAGAGGAAGTAGTACTCACTGTAGATGTAGGGCAACAGAGCCGGATAGGCGTGGGCCATGCAGATACTGGCCAAAAGGAGGACGGCCACCAGATTGTTTGCCGCCATGCCGTGTAATCCCAGGATCTGAAAGTGACACACGACGTAATTCATTTGATTAGTAGCCAAGATTCGATTACACTCACACACTGAAACGAAGAAAAAAAAACTGAAAGGAACCCAAAAAGAAAGCGCAAAACCAAACACAACAAGGGGCCTGTGAACACATACATACATATGCAAATCACGCTAAAAATAACACAAGAAATCGATAAGGCAACAACAAAGCGGCCAAAGTAAGGCATTCAAAATAAAGAAGAATATAAAAGGCCGAGCAACAAAACAAATTCGAATTGAAAACTGGCTCTCTATATTGCAAACACCCACACACACACTCGCACACACACACACACACTCTTAAGTGTGAATTGAGTAAATTGGCCGCATAAGCGAATTATCGATGCATTGGGAAAACACTTAAGCACGTTTGGGAATCCTCGGGATTGAAGGGCCGCCGGAGACTTGCTCAAGTATTCCGCAGGATAGCATGCACAAATCTTTATACAACACAAACACCTTCACAAAATAACAAAGTTTATTTTGGTCCTGCGAATGCTCCAAAATGTATGCTACATATTTTTTTAATCTGTACTTTTCGTGTCAATTCAACAATTGACAAAACTTTTGTGAATGAAAAGCAGGTCTGTGAGTTTTTACCTCTCTAAGTTACAGCTGTGAGTTAATGCGAAATTCTAAGCACGTCCTGCTCGCTTGAGTTTTCAGAACCTAGTACCGTCAGGACCTGAGACCGTGTCGTTAGCGGATGTAATTTTCATCGCAAGAGAGGGCTGTAAACAGAGCTTTAAATTCCACAGCTTTTTTTCAAAAAAGCTTTTTAACCCATTGTTGAAAAATTGGCAGGAATGTTATATTTAAAACAGGTCAGGCAAGAAAATTTAAAGAAACAAACTATTAAGTAAATTACTTACCATTAAATTGGAAAATTATTGTAAGATTATTAATACAAATAAATGATGTAAATCGATTGAAACTGTAACAATATGCAGCATGTCCGTGTAGTTTAATACTTGAACATCTTGCTTTGGGCTTAAATTTGATCCTAAGTCAACAAATGATTCTATTTGAAACCTAAAGGCTTTTTGGGTTGAAACCCAAATAAGATCTTACTATAAAATGATGGAGGCCTCGTCCTTATATTTTCTGTTTCCCTTTAAGGCCCTTTGCCCTTCACTCATATTGTTTATATTGGACAAATTAAAGTGAAACAAACCTTTTCTTAACAAAATTTCTAGATTTTATTAAAACAAAACACTCTTAACAGTGACTAACTGCATCCGGGGAAAGGTTCAACGCGGTTCTTGCGAAGCACGAATTGAATCTTCCGGTTCATATCCTCGTTGTAAATGGCCTTGCACTTTTCAAAGTTGACACGGCGCCGAACCTGAAATATTTAACAAAATGAGTTTAAGTTTATGAAAATAATTGTAAATCCCACCTGGTAGGGCTTCTCATAGAAGCGTGTCCGGCGAAACTGGTCCAGAAGTTCCTCCTTTCCCAAGACGCGGTTCAGAAGACGGCAGGCCTCCTCCACGTTATTGTTTTGCACGAGAACCGTACGGGCCAGAAATTGTGCGTGTCTCATGTTAGTTTTTTATTTATAAATGCTTATGTTTATTAAATAACCAAGTAGACCCAGAATAGTGTTACCCAACTAAGCTGCCGACGATATTGCCACTTATGGCCATAATTATATCGATAATTATCGACGATAGTTTAAGTTTAACGATAGTGGCAACGCCTGGTCGCACTTTTGGGGGGCAATGAATGGTCACTCTCTTTTCCCGTGCCCTGCCGCACACGTTTTCAAAGTTTTTTCCATCGAATCGGAGCGTGGTGTAGTAAGCTGTTTAAAAGTATTCGGTCTCGATTAAATTTATAGTATAAAGTGTAACCTCAAGGAACCTAGCTGCAAATTTTTCATTCAAAACACACAACACCAACTTGAGACGCAGATAAAAGGTAAAGAAAAAAAATTTTGCACATTTCGCCTTGTCGCTACGAGAAAATTCCCGTGTCTGTGTGTGTATGCGTGAACACACTTCCTTTTCCCCTTTTTTTCCATCTCTTCTCATTAAGTAATCGCCGATAATTGTTAATTCAACGCGACAAAAGATTTTCTAACAAAGTTTCCCTTGTAAAATCGATGGAATTGCTTGGATTTGCTCTTCGCCTTTGTTCTGGCCAATTCTGACGCAGCGTCTTGCGCGGCACATGTTTGTACCCATACATGCACGATATATACATTTTCAATGCGAATTCTTTGTGTGTGCCAGACTTTCGTTGGTATAAATATAATTGGCAAGGCTTTTTCCTTTGATCCAAATCAATAGATAGTTCTTCAATTCAATTTTTTCCAAGTGTCTGCCCTTTCCCCCTAGTCTGTCTCGCTCTCCCCTGCTGCCGTTTTTCATTATCGCTCTCTTTGCTTTGCGGTCGCCGTTCGCAACCAGGGCTACCGAATTCTGACGAAATTTTCTAGAAACTATATGTTTGTGTGTGTGTGTGTGTGTATGCGAAAGAGATGGCCAGGTAGCGGATTGGTTCAGTGCGGGGGGACGAGGAGTGTCAGCTGCTCGCCCGATGTATTGAAAATAGGAAAAAGTTCTAGAAATACGGTAGAAAACGTCGCATTTATTTTCGCACACGCTCGACGGTGGGCTGACCTTGAAACCCGGGCTCGGGCCCGGAAGCAAAGTCCCGCCTACAGCCGCCCACACGGGTGCACTGAGCGAAAAAGTCCAGAGCCCAGTCCAGAACAGGCATGAAAGACTTGTCATCAAGAGTCAGCAGAAAACATTGTCAGTGAAAAAATAGACTTAAATATTAGTATATATTTTATTAAAATCGTAACTATTCAAGTAATTGGAACAAAAATACTATATTTTACAGTTAAACAGCCGAAAAAATGGTCAAAGAAACTGGGTACTATGATCTTCTGGGCGTAAAGCCCAATGCCACGCCCGAGGAGCTGAAGAAGGCCTACCGGAAGCTGGCCCTGAAATACCACCCCGACAAAAACCCAAACGAGGGAGAGAAGTTCAAGGCCATCTCCCAGGCCTACGAAGTGCTGTCGGATACGGACAAGCGTCAGGTGTACGACGAGGGCGGTGAGGCGGCGATCAAGAAGGGTGGAGCCGACTCCGGCGACTTCCGGAATCCGATGGACTTCTTTGAGAAGTTCTTCGGTGCTGGCTTTGGCGGCGGCGGCGGCGGTCGACGACGAGAGCGACGCGGCAAGGATGTGGTGCATCAGATGTCCGTGCAGCTGGAGGAGCTGTACAACGGCGCCACCCGGAAGCTGCAGCTGCAGAAGAACGTCATTTGCGACAAGTGCGAGGGCCGTGGAGGCAAGAAGGGCAGCATCGAGAAGTGTATGCAGTGCCGAGGCAACGGTGTGGAGACCCGTGTCCAGCAGATCGCCCCCGGTATCATGCAGCACATCGAGCAGGTGTGCCGCAAGTGCTCGGGCACCGGCGAGACCATCCAGGAGAAGGACCGTTGCAAGAACTGCAACGGCAGGAAAACGGTGCGGGAGCGAAAGGTCCTCGAAGTGCACATCGAGAAGGGTATGCGGGACGGCCAGAAGATTGTGTTTAATGGCGAGGGTGATCACGAGCCGGAATCTCAGCCTGGCGATATTATTATTCTGCTGGACGAAAAGGAGCATGCGACGTTCGCGCATGCCGGGCAGGACCTCATGATGAAGATGCCATTGCAGCTGGTCGAAGCCCTGTGCGGCTTCCAACGAATTGTCAAGACTCTGGATGATCGCGATCTGCTCGTCTCCACAAAACCCGGTGAAGTTATCCGGCACGAGATGACCAAGTGCATTGCCGACGAGGGCATGCCCATTTACAAGAACCCCATGGAAAAGGGACTGTTGATCATTCAGTTCGAGGTAATCTTCCCCGACGTGATCAATCCGACAGTGGTGCCCGCCCTCCAACAGTGCCTGCCACCGGCGCCGCAGGTTGACATTCCAATCGATGCAGAGCACACTGAGTTGGTGAGTACTCCTACGAAGCATATCATCCAGTATTGGAGTTCATGGCAACTTTTCATTTAATCCTTTAGGTGGACTTTGATCCCAAGGCCCGCCGCAACCAACACCAGCGCATGGCCTACGACGAGGACGATGGCGGCTATCAGGATGGCCCCCGAGTCCAGCAGTGCACATCGAGCTAAGCGCCTCGCCGAGTGCTGGATTCCACTCCCTCCCCCCCCACAAACCCAAACACACCTATCCAACCAGGCAGTAATAATATACAACATAGCTCCCGGAACACGTAAACTGTGCTTGCAAATGGCCGAAGAACTCTTAAGAAATCCTAAAGCACCCAAGAAACACCACACACACACAAACACACACCCTCTAGGAGTCACCCAACCAATCGAGATCTAAAGTTATTTCATGCAAGCTACGATATTTAGGTATAAATCAATGGAAACTTATCAGATGATATGCACTATGTCTATAACGCGTGGTTGTTCGATAACCAATGAGAACATTTTTCATTTCGTTTATGTGTTGAGTTGAATAATATTCAAAAATCAAATCAAAGAAATATCGAAAAGAGAAAAACTAAAACCGAAACCGAAACTGAAACTAAACTGAAATTGCAAATTAGCCGCCACTAGAACCGTATCTAAGGTCCGCGCCAGCGAACGCGTCTAGGAACAAGTTTAAGTTATTTAATTCCAGCATAAATAAAAGCGTTAGTTTAAACGGATATAACAAATAAATAATTAATACACAATTTCAAATTAAAGTTTTCTGTTTTATGCGTTTCTTAGTATCTGGGTGCCCAGTCATCGGGATTGTGAATCATACTCGACTAATGCCAGCTGGAGATATCGGCTGTATATAGTTATGAAGTGGCCTTAGGGGGATTAGATAAAAGGGGGGAATTGGTTTCCAAGGGCGATCTAAAGATTAAAAACTCTAAAGGTATAAAATATTTTGTAAATTTATTTACAAAAATTCAAGAAGACATCTTGTTACTTAAATTAATGCGCAAAGTTTCGAAGTGCTGCCACCACCCCCGTTCCATATATTAGCTTCTCTTCCACTCGCTGCCATGCCTCCTCTTGCACCTTGGAGACACTGCGCAACGCCCTCACCAGCTCAGCAGAGTCGGTCAGGCCGAGGCCGTGGGATCGCAGGAAGACACTCAAGTAGGACTGGGCCAGTTCAAAGTTGTGGTTGGTCCCGAACATAAACTCAATCATCTTGATGAACTGCAGCATGGCGAGGAGAGTGCCACCAGCATCGGGATGCATCGATTTAATTTCAAAGTCCACCATCGAAGGACCCAGTTTCGTTATGTGGCTGACAGCCGGAGCGAAGTCCCCACTGCTTGCCGTTACCTCCAGAAGTTTTCCAAAGCCAGTTAGGTTATTTAGGACGGTGGCCTGGCGGAAGTGTGAACCATCCTCTGCCTTCTGACCATTCTCCACATCAAAGCGCAGCTCCAGACCGGAAACGGTGGGCAGGAAGAACGGAGCCTGCTTGGGAGCCTTGGGAGGGGCTTTCGGCTTGTTGCGCTGCTTGATGAGTTCCAGGTCCAGGAGATTTTGCCACCGAGACGCAGCCAATCCGGACAGTGTAATCAGCTCCTCCGAGAGTTGGCTTGGTGTTTCGTACTTGGCATCAACAAGTTCACCTTCCTCAGCATCGTCGTCGATCTCCAGCTCCTGCAAGCAGTCTTCCAGCTCGATGGCATCGCAAACATTGGTGGGCAGTCCCACGTATGGAGCAGGTTCTTTAGGATCGATGGAGCGCAAAGAGACCTGATTGAAAAGGGTCTTATTGGCCCACAGATAGACTCCCAGGAGATTGACGTGCGCTGTTGCCAGAAAATCACCATTCGGGGACATGGTGAGTGACACACACGGCCGCTCCACCCGAAAGTGATCCACCATGTAAGCCGAGGGTATGTCCCACACCTTGATGGTGGAGTCCATGGCTGCGGTGATCAGCCAGCGACTGTCCGGACTGAATGTCATGTCGTTCAGCTTGGCTGTGTGACCCGCGAACTTGCGCACTATCACCCTGGTGTGCATGTCCACGACAAACACCTTGAACGTTTCCAGCCCGATGGCCAGCATGGAGCTCTCGCGATGTTGCCGCATCAAGGCAATACCATCCGCCAACCGGAGAACCGCCAAGGGCTTCTCAACTAAAAAGATTCCAAACAAAATGGGTTAGAATGGCATCAATGGAGGAGGAGTCAGGGAACTCACCCTTTCCTTTAAAAGGCCAGAACTTGAGAAGGCCCTCAGAGCAACCGGAGATGACGCATTGGTTTAGATTGTCGGTTGCCAAGCCTCGCACTGCCATCTTGTGACCCGGAGAACCATAGCTGGCCCGATGAATACCCGACTGGATGTTGAAGCGTTCAATGTCGCCACTGCTGTAGCCAACAATCACAAAGTTACCGCAGTGCGTCAACACGATGCAAGTGGTCTCGTTCAGAAAGTTTGTGCGATTCTTGTTTTCGAATTGCTGCGGCACCAACCGATGTTGGCCCATGCGGTTCTTGTCGAATGTCCATGTGGTGGTCTGGATAATGCCAGTATGAATGGCGGCTATGTTGTCCCACTCCTTCTCGCGGGTAGTGTCCGAGGTGAACTCCACAATGGGCGGCATAATATACTTGTCGTACTGGAAGCGATCTACAAGAAAATGGGGTTTAAATCAGGAATATTGGGCAAAGTTGGATCTCTACTCACTCTTGGTTTTTGTGGATTTTGGATTGTAGCTGGCCCGACCCATGCTTTTGTTTAGCGACTCGGACAGGGTGGAAAACACTCTCAGAGTGCTGTCTTCGCCGGAGGAGAGTATCGAAACCCCTGAGTTTCCATGGTAACGGATGCACAGAGGCGGTTTCGTATGACCCTCCCGGATCCTCAGCTGCCTGGCTCCACCGTCTGGCATATCGAAAACAAATAGCTTCATCGAGTTGTCTGGCGAGGTGGTGAACACAACCGGCTCGCTAGGCAGGCAAATAGCGGTGGTAACCTGGTCCTCGTGGGCATGCAGCTGTCCGGCCAGCTTCCGTTCCTCCAGGTTCCAGAAGGCCATGTACCCATTGCTGCAGGCAGACACCAAAATAGGGGGTCCATCTGTTCTGAAAGCCAGACTGGTCACCTGACCCCAATCCTGCTTAAAACCCATCAGCACTTCATCAAATTTGAGGTTAATGAGTTGAATAGATCCATCACCATAGCCGACTGCAACCACGTCCAAAGCTGGAGCCGTTTCGATGCAGGTTATCCTGCTCTCGTGGTGGTTTAAGGTACAGACTACGGTGTTCTTCTTGATGTTTAGAATTTTGAGCAGTCCCTGCTGGGAGCCGAGCACAATTTTATTGATATAGGTGGGCGGATGGGCCACGGCAGTGATCTTGAACTCTTCAATCCGAAAAGGTACTTCCAGATATACCTCCTCCGTGGGAATGCTCCACACTTTCAGGACATTATCCCTGTCTACGGAAATAAGGCTAGAGCCAAAGGGCAGAAGTAGATGGACATCCTTCTGATGTCCCCGGTACACATGCCGAATGTGTTTGCCCGCCCGCCATGCGTAGATGCACTTGTTGCTGGCAGTATACGTGTGCAGGCGATCTGTAGCTAGAGCCGTGATCTCGTCCGGGTGCAGACCGCTCACATGCAACAGTCGCAAGTGGCTAGCGGTGTACACTTGAAAGGATCGGCCGATGCAGGTGATTATCAGCGTGTCCCGCCGGCGCTGGACGTACCGTGTAACTGCTGGAACCTGGTTGCTTACATAGCCCAAGGCGCGGTTTCGTCGGAAGATGCGACTGCTCTCCTTGAATGCCCCGCGCGACTCGACCTCTTTTTCTTCTGGCTGCAGGTGAGTCATTTTTTGTGATTCGTAGTCTGCTTTCTTTTAATTTTCATATATTTTCACGGTTTAAAACATGTTAAATGTTTACGAAGCACGTGGGAAATTAGAGATGGTTAAATTTGCGATAGTTAATAAGCTGTCTGGGTATTTTAGACTTACTGTGGGTAAGGTCACTCTAAATTTCAACTGAATGTTTAAAAGTGGAACCAACAGCGATCTGCAAAAAATATTGTTTCATTTCTGGATGGTCAAAATGAATTGTGGGTTTTCCTAAATTCCCCTATTCAGTAAAATAAAGTACTGTTCAGTAATCAACGAACTCAGAAGCGACTTTCCTCATTCAAAAAATTGCCACAATTTCATTTTTAAATTTTTAGATTTTTTTCCTAGAGGTACCCCTGAAAAATTGTGGCTTTTCCAAATTTCTCCACTTTTTCCCCTTCCGATCGGCACAGCTCCACCAATTATCCGATCACGAAATAAAGTACCATTTTGTAATCAGCGAACCCAGAAGCGACTTTTCTCATTCAAAACATTGCTTAATATCGTTTTTAAATTTTTGGATTTTTTTCCTAAGGCTACCCCTACAAAATTGTGGCTTTTCCAACTTTCCCCACTTTTTCGCCTTCCAATCGACACAGCTCCAACAATTGTTATCCGATCACGAAACAAAGTACCATTTTGTAATCAGCGAACCCAGAAGCGACTTTCCCCATTCAAAACATTGCCACAATACCGTTTTTAAATTTTTCGATTTTTTTCCTAGGGGTACCCCTACAAAATTGTGGCTTTTCCAAATTTCTCCACTTTTTCCCCTTCCGATCGGCACAGCTCTACCAATTGTTATCCGATCACGAAATAAAGTACCATTTTGTAATCAGCGAACCCAGAAGCTACTTTTCTCATTCAAAACATTGCCACAATATAGTTTTTACATTTTTCGATTTTTTTCCTAGGGGTACCCCTACAAAATTATGGCTTTTCCAACTTTCTCCACTTTTTCCCCTTCCGATCGCCACAGCTCCACCAATTGTTATCCGATCACGAAACAAAGTACCATTTTGTAATCAGCGAACCCAGAAGCGACTTTTTTCATTCAAAACATTGCTTAAATATCGTTTTTAAATTTTTGGATTTTTTTCCTAGGGGTACCCCTACAAAATTGTGGCTTTTCCAACTTTCCCCACTTTTTCCCCTTCCGATCGCCACAGCTCCACCAATTGTTATCCGATCACGAAACAAAGTACCATTTTGTAATCAGCGAACCCAGAAGCGACTTTCCTCATTCAAAACATTGCCACAATACCGTTTTTAAATTTTTCGATTTTTTTCCTAGGGGTACCCCTACAAAATTGTGGCTTTTCCAAATTTCTCCACTTTTTCCCCTTCCGATCGGCACAGCTCTACCAATTGTTATCCGATCACGAAATAAAGTACCATTTTGTAATCAGCGAACCCAGAAGCTACTTTTCTCATTCAAAACATTGCCACAATATAGTTTTTACATTTTTCGATTTTTTTCCTAGGGGTACCCCTACAAAATTATGGCTTTTCCAACTTTCTCCACTTTTTCCCCTTCCGATCGGCACAGCTCTACCAATTGTTATCCGATCACGAAACAAAGTACCATTTTGTAATCAGCGATCCCAGAAGCGACTTTTTTTATTCAAAACATTGCTTAAATATCGTTTTTAAATTTTTGGATTTTTTTCCTAGGGGTACCCCTACAAAATTGTGGCTTTTCCAACTTTCCCCACTTTTTCCCCTTCCGATCGCCACAGCTCCACCAATTGTTATCCGATCACGAAACAAAGTACCATTTTGTAATCAGCGAACCCAGAAGCGACTTTCCTCATTCAAAACATTGCCACAATACCGTTTTTAAATTTTTCGATTTTTTTCCTAGGGGTACCCCTACAAAATTGTGGCTTTTCCAACTTTCCCCACTTTTTCCCCTTCCGATCGGCACAGCTCCACCAATTGTTATCCGATCACGAAACAAAGTACCATTTTGTAATCAGCGAACCCAGAAGCGACTTTCCTCATTCAAAACATTGCCACAATATAGTTTTTAAATTTTTCGATTTTTTTCCTAGGGGTACCCCTACAAAATTGTGGTTTTTTCAACTTTCCCCACTTTTTCCCCTTCCGATCAGCACAGCTCCACCAATTGTTATCCGATCACGAAACAAAGTACCATTTTGTAATCAGCGAACCGAATCAGAAGCGACTTTCCTCATTCAAAACATTGCTTAAATATCGTTATTAAATTTTTCGATTTTTTTCCTAGAGGTACCCCTGAAAAATTGTGGCTTTTCCAAATTTCTCCACTTTTTCCCCTTCCGATCGGCACAGCTCCACCAATTATCCGATCACGAAATAAAGTACCATTTTGTAATCAGCGAACCCAGAAGCGACTTTTCTCATTCAAAACATTGCTTAATATCGTTTTTAAATTTTTGGATGTTTTTCCTAAGGCTACCCCTACAAAATTGTGGCTTTTCCAAATTTCCCCACTTTTTCCCCTTCCAATCGACACAGCTCCAACAATTGTTATCCGATCACGAAACAAAGTACCATTTTGTAATCAGCGAACCCAGAAGCGACTTTCCCCATTCAAAACATTGCCACAATACCGTTTTTAAATTTTTCGATTTTTTTCCTAGGGGTACCCCTACAAAATTGTGGCTTTTCCAAATTTCTCCACTTTTTCCCCTTCCGATCGGCACAGCTCTACCAATTGTTATCCGATCTCGAAATAAAGTACCATTTTGTAATCAGCGAACCCAGAAGCTACTTTTCTCATTCAAAACATTGCCACAATATAGTTTTTACATTTTTCGATTTTTTTCCTAGAGGTACCCCTGAAAAATTGTGGCTTTTCCAAATTTCTCCACTTTTTCCCCTTCCGATCGGCACAGCTCCACCAATTATCCGATCACGAAATAAAGTACCATTTTGTAATCAGCGAACCCAGAAGCGACTTTTCTCATTCAAAACATTGCTTAATATCGTTTTTAAATTTTTGGATTTTTTTCCTAAGGCTACCCCTACAAAATTGTGGCTTTTCCAACTTTCCCCACTTTTTCCCCTTCCAATCGACACAGCTCCAACAATTGTTATCCGATCACGAAACAAAGTACCATTTTGTAATCAGCGAACCCAGAAGCGACTTTCCCCATTCAAAACATTGCCACAATACCGTTTTTAAATTTTTCGATTTTTTTCCTAGGGGTACCCCTACAAAATTGTGGCTTTTCCAAATTTCTCCACTTTTTCCCCTTCCGATCGGCACAGCTCTACCAATTGTTATCCGATCTCGAAATACAGTACCATTTTGTAATCAGCGAACCCAGAAGCTACTTTTCTCATTCAAAACATTGCCACAATATAGTTTTTACATTTTTCGATTTTTTTCCTAGAGGTACCCCTGAAAAATTGTGGCTTTTCCAAATTTCTCCACTTTTTCCCCTTCCGATCGGCACAGCTCCACCAATTATCCGATCACGAAATAAAGTACCATTTTGTAATCAGCGAACCCAGAAGCGACTTTTCTCATTCAAAACATTGCTTAATATCGTTTTTAAATTTTTGGATTTTTTTCCTAAGGCTACCCCTACAAAATTGTGGCTTTTCCAACTTTCCCCACTTTTTCCCCTTCCAATCGACACAGCTCCAACAATTGTTATCCGATCACGAAACAAAGTACCATTTTGTAATCAGCGAACCCAGAAGCGACTTTCCCCATTCAAAACATTGCCACAATACCGTTTTTAAATTTTTCGATTTTTTTCCTAGGGGTACCCCTACAAAATTATGGCTTTTCCAACTTTCTCCACTTTTTCCCCTTCCGATCGGCACAGCTCTACCAATTGTTATCCGATCACGAAACAAAGTACCATTTTGTAATCAGCGAACCCAGAAGCGACTTTTTTCATTCAAAACATTGCTTAAATATCGTTTTTAAATTTTTGGATTTTTTTCCTAGGGGTACCCCTACAAAATTGTGGCTTTTCCAACTTTCCCCACTTTTTCCCCTTCCGATCGCCACAGCTCCACCAATTGTTATCCGATCACGAAACAAAGTACCATTTTGTAATCAGCGAACCCAGAAGCGACTTTCCTCATTCAAAACATTGCCACAATACCGTTTTTAAATTTTTCGATTTTTTTCCTAGGGGTACCCCTGAAAAATTGTGGCTTTTCCAACATTCCCCACTTTTTCCCCTTCCGATCGGCACAGCTCCACCAATTGTTATCCGATCACGAAACAAAGTACCATTTTGTAATCAGCGAACCCAGAAGCGACTTTCCTCATTCAAAACATTGCCACAATACCATTTTTAAATTTTTCGATTTTTTTCCTAGGGGTACCCCTACAAAATTATGGCTTTTCCAACTTTCTCCACATTTTCCCCTTCCGATCGGCACAGCTCCACCAATTGTTATCCGATCACGAAACAAAGTACCATTTTGTAATCAGCGAACCCAGAAGCGACTTTTCTCATTCAAAATATTGCTGAAATATCGTTTTTAAATTTTTCGATTGTTTTCCTAGGGGTACCCCTACGAAATGGTGGCTTTTCCAAATTTTCTCACTTTTTCCCCTTCCGATGACCACAGCTCTGCCAATTGTTATCCGATCACGAAATAAAGTACCATTTCGTAATCAGCGAACCCAGAATGAGGAAAGTTTCTCGTTTCTCAAAGGAAAGTCAAAAATAATATGTTGGCATAAATGCTTAAAAGGAATATTAATAAAATTACTGGAACGTGAGATATGTTATGCTTTTTTAGCATTTTAACTGTTTTATTTTACCGCGCGTTTCGTTATAAATATAAAATTTGAATAACATTTTTTTTGTTGCTATATTGTACAATACACTTATAACATTTAACATACATTTTTCACACAGTTTTTCGATTCCACATGGATCGATTTTGAATCTTGGAGTAAGTATAGTTCTTGTTTAAATTAAAATTAAAACTATATATAGTCTTTCGCTTTCCTCATTAACAACATAAATAAAATATGGTTTATAAACATTAATTAAAACACTCTCTCATTGCCATTTTCTTCGATTTATTTTCCATCGTGTGCTTATTGTTTCCATAATATTATTATAATATATTTTTTTGACACTGAAATCATTACCAGCCCCTAAAAATTTCAGTTGTTTTTTATATTTTTAGGAAAATGTGTTGTTTTATGTGTAGACATTTGGGAAACATTTTATACAAGTTGCGAAAGTAAGTATTCTTTAGTAATCCTTCTAGATATTTCTGTTGTTTTTCTTGTGGCTCTTGATCTTAAGGTATTTTGAGGTGTTTTCTGTTGCTGTGTGTTTCTATGAAGATAATGAAGTGCATGGTGTTCCGGAGTTAGTTTAAAGCATTAATTTCGCCGGAGTTCGACAGCGGGTAGTCCAGTTCACCCAATCGGGGTGATGGTCGGCGGGGTCGATTAAACTGAAAATAGATGTAAACGTCAGAATGAGGCTAACCAAGAACTCCATTAACTTCTCTTACCCAAGATCTCATAATTTTGTAGAGCACCTGCCGGGCGGGATAGTCATTAAATTCGGCCTCGGGTGGTACTGCCAGAGCCTGTTCATTTGGTGCCATCATGGGCATTAGACCATTTGGACGCAAATAGTCCTGCTCCTGACCGCTACTGGCGCTCTCGCCCACTCCCGTTCCGGATCCGGAGCTCAGAGAGCGCTTGCCATGTCCACCGTAGCACACATGGCCAAAGGCCTGACAACCCTCTGCAGAAGGATGGAAAAGTGAATTAATTAAACAGTGATGACTGGAGGTGAGATTTAATAGCTAAAACAGTGCCAGTTTTTCTCTAAATCACAAAGTTCAATCAAAAAAAAAATTGTTTATTACATGGATGCATTTATAAAATGAGGATCCCATCTACATTAGTTTCTCAAATTAATTTAAAATTTTCTGATTCTTTGGGGTTTCAATTTCTTTTTAAAAGAAAAAATATTTGACAGATATGCTTAAGTATTTTGAAAATATTATAAAAATTTTCAAATTGGAGAATCGATTTCTTTTAATTTTCAAAGGTGTAAAACGCTATAAAATGTGTAAGGAGAAATAACTAGAAGGGGAAAAAAGTATTTCACTTCCAATGTGCTAGTAATCGATTTTTGGCAGCACCACACCGTTCCCCACTTTCAAGCTGATCAAATGCCTTTTTCTTTTCCCAAGGCACCACCCACAATCTTTCCCTCTCAGCATTAGTTACTACTGAATATGGTCCTGTGACTTGGAATTACTGCCGAAATCTTTAATCGCTAGCCAAAGCTCAAGAGAGACATCCAGCGATAACATTTGACCCCATGACGGTTCAGTTTCGTTTTGTTTGTGTGCCTTGTCTGGCGGTGTGTGAACAAACTTTTGACATTCTGCTATTTTTGAATTTCCGCCCACACGGGCAAAACATAAATTTTGCTGTTGCGCTCTTGGGAGTTGTCCTTGACATCCCTAAACCTTGGAAAATTTTTAAATGAAGTTAGAAGGATAAGGCAGCTTGCAATGCTCTTCAAATTTAGGCTGTTTTGTGACAAGGTCGTTTGAGAATGGAAGCTTTTATCTGTTTTCACGGTTTTCATTTGTAGAGTATCTATGTTTCATATTTATCCCATTCTCCGGGTACTCACTTGGGAGCATTAAATAAGTTAGCTTTCCCTACTCTTAAATGCTCTTTCAAAGGCAATCAAATCAAAAAGTTTTAGTAATTGATGCTGATGGGGTATCAGAGGGATATCCAATTAAGCCCACACATATCCCACTGGCCTATAGCTTGAGGTAGCCTAACTTTGTTTCCTCATCATGTTCTGACATTGAAATTCATTTTTATTCATTTTAGTCACACATGGCTTGCAATGTTCAGACACTTGCGAGGATACGGAAATTGCACCCCAGTTCGACCCTCTGTTGTTGCCATTTAAAATTTCCGCAGCTGGGAAAACAAAGACGTCAGGATACTACTACCATGGTTGTCAGAATGCCAGCCACCTTTGTTTGTCTTGCATTAAATGCAACAATTGATGCTGCGCCCAGGGCGAGCGCACGGATGCCGGCGCACGACACACATTTATGGCTTTGTTTTTCGCGTTTAAATTTAATGAATATTTCATGACAACTTCACGTGAACAGATGGATCTAGAGCGCTTTAAAGGTATTGATGTATGTCAATTGCAAAAAAACACAAAAAAACAACGTATTTAAATAGAATAATACAAACTTCTAAAAGAATACGAAAATGTAAATTAATTGATCCAATAAACATTTTATATAAACCTTGTTATGCATTCCAATGTTTGAACTCTTATACATTTACTTTAAGATAGACATATTTTGTATATTATTTTTAGTATTATGTTATGTCTTAATGAAACATATTTGGTACTCACTTTTCGCTTGACTCTGTTGGGCGGCCAGGACCACGGTGCAGATGACAACCAGCAGCAAAGAAATTGTGGATTTCATGTTACCTGGAATAGAGGGACAAAAAGGGGAATCAGCGCCTGGGATAAAGGGATGAGCACCTGTTGATGTCTGGCTCTGACAATGCTATTTGCCCCGAAGCGGTGCCACACTAATTAGGAAATCAGAGCACAGCGCGACGAGCGAGTTGAAATCGAATCTGGAGTTTACATGCGTTTAGGAAGCTAATCCTGGGCCGAAAACTTTGAACTATGATTTATGTAACGCCCACGCAAACACAAAGACAATTAGCCGGACGTGTGTGTGGCATAAGGGTAAAGTTCCAGAATGGTTTCTTCACTACGTGCTTTGAATTTTGCATTTCTTGATTTCTTCATAAGCTTGCCGACATCTTATGCCGGAATATTCAAAGATATAAGATAAGTCATTTAATTTGCCGGAGTCTGCATGAATTTCCCACTTAGTAAATGTGTGGCCAGAACCCAAATTAAACCGATTAAAATTTGGTTACAGCTGATGCCGAACGGCCCATCAATCATACGCCGTGTGTGCGTAATTGGATCCATGTTTATTATTAGCCACTGAACCGGGTCGCGTGTCGCACTCAACTGCAGTTCCATTGGGAAGTAGCTTCATAAACTCACCTTAATCCGGCTGATTAGCTGATTCGATCTCGGATTTTGTTCTATATGTAGGGCAGTTTTTTTTCTACAGGATTATCAACACTATATTCGCTTTGAATTAATTTGCTAATTATAAGCTCGTAAGATGGGTACTATATAATCACAGATATGGTAGGGCGGATGTTATTTGCCAGTTTCACTTGGTATGGCAGCAATTCCACCAGCCGAAATCCCGTGTTTCCAAACGCGATTTCACATTTTCAAGCTCCCGCCAGCGACTGAGACCGATCTTTGGTTGCGCTGTGCCTATATGCCACATTTGAATGGAATCTCGGATGCTTGTGCTCCCCTCGGTGATAAGCGGCGATCTCTTCCGTAATCTCCACGCAATCCGTGTCACGCGTACTCACTCCCACAGCTTTTCCACCTCTCGCTTTTCCATTTCCATTTTATCACCCTACTCGAGCTACAGCCGATCCGCGGACTATTTTCAGTCCCTGTTCGAGCTAAATTTATGACCAGCCGATAAGTGCGAATTAATATGTAGAGCGCTACCAGAGCCAGCGCCAGTGCAGTAAAAAAATCAACCCAATAAAAACAGGCACCCACGCCTGCGAAAACAATAACAGCAGCCTCATTTCATGAACAAAACAATTTATACATAATAATTATTGTTTACCAAGGCGCAGGGCAGTGGCAACAGTCGACCCTTGGGCTTATCAATTTTCCCAGCTATTTAGCTGTTAAAATAATGCCTTAATGAGCTGTTGCTGCCACAACTCTTTGCTGACATTGTCACTAATGGGCCATAGTCCGTGGAGATTGCGGGGGTATAAATCGAATTTCGAAAACTTTCCACAGGTGCTGGAATTCTCGCTAAATTAAATGAATGCACTGAAAAAATTAAGCGATCTAGGACATGAAATTGGAACCATAGATACCTCTATTTTTTGAATAATTCCTCTAGATAATATTTTATTTCTGGTTAATAAAGCTGGTAAACAAGTTTAAAGGACATTTAAGTTTAAATATGCACGTACTTGTACACATTTTGAATAGATTTTTTTAAAGTGAATCCCCAATACAAAGTTCACGGACAGCCTGCTGATCAGTTTCCGTGTGAAATTTTCTAATCTCCAGCTGATAATTAGATGAAAGACAAAGCAAACAGCTGCTAACCAGGTCATCCAATGGAAGCGTGCCTTTGGCACAAATCGTTCCAAATCGAATCAGATTATAAAAGGAGCGATAAAGCCATTCAGGGCAATAGTCTGAACAACAGATTAACTTGAGCAAGTCGCCTGGAAATGAACCTCAAACCAATTCAAATTAAAACTGGCTTCAAGTAAGGTCAAGACTTTGAGCTGTTTCTCGTGGCCAACAAGCCCGCAGACAAGTTGAAAGTTGAAAGTCTACTCTAATGTAAAGTTTAGTTGAAGACATCATTGACTGTAAGATTAACTTTGTAGGCAAAAGAATAAGACTCATATCTTTTGTTTTATCCTGTAGAAATAACTTGGCATTTGTCAATAACTTTTCAACTAGACAATAACATTTAATTGCATCCTTAGGGAGCCATTGCAATTTTGTAGAAGAGCATCCGTCTCATGTCATAATGAAACTGCTTCGCAAAAAGGAAAACACTCAAATCGACTTTAAATTTCTCGCAACTTAATTTTCCTCAACAGCAACAAGTTTCATCTGTGAGTTTTCCTCCTCTTGGATAATACATGATTTATACAGCTGTAGCCTTTTAACATTCTCGTAAGCAAAATGAGCAGCGTTTGCTAGTTTTAAACTAGGAAGCGAGGGGTGTCGCCTCTGGCTTTTTAATGGGAGTTATTAAAAATAAATCAAAGCGGATAAGGAAGTCAACATAGGCCCCCCTACTAAAGCTGCACCCTCCATAATTATGGCTTGCAATCTACTTTGATTCAATTATATTAGACAAATAAACAAAGGCAGCTGGAGCCCAACAAAGTCCCTGAGGGTATCTCCAAATTAATTGACCAGGAACAAGGCCTAACAACTAATGTAAACAAATGTAAACTAGAATGGGAAGACGTTAAATTTCTGTCCAGAGAATAATTTTAATAAATATCTAAATGAATTTTATGTTTCCTTTTTAAAACAGAAGTCTATTGAAAAATTGAAATAAAAATGGACCAACAAAAACTTGAACACTTTTTCTTTAACTGTCTGGAAATGTATATTTGAAGTCTTTTTCCGCTTTTAATCATTTTAGAAAATATTCTTTTCAAATAGTATCTTACAGATACACAATTTGTCCAACAACTTACCCATATTTCAAAAACGAACTCTAAACCGTGTGGACCAATGCTTTTATTATGAATATGACTGTTTTATTCTGCACTTAATGTACTTGTGTCAACACCTACTTTCACTTCACTGGTAAATTGCTGGCCGAAACAATTGTCTTGTTTTTCGTCCGGGTCGTCCTGGTCCTCGTCCTTGCCGGGTGGTTAACTTTTCAGCTTCTGTTGCTGCTTTTCGACTGCAAGCCAGAGTTCTTTTGCTGCCGCCAGAAGGGAATCGGCCGGATTTATAGCTGCAGCACCACAGCTCCAATGTACAAGTGTGTGAGTGCGTGTGGGTGGGTTGGGGGTCGAGTGGGTTACTTGATGGAAGGGCGCGAGTGTGTGTGTGGGCTGAAGGCTGTCAGCCAATCAGGAGCCGTTGAAAAACCCGAGTGCCACCCGAAGCTCTTGCCCAGAAGTATGCAACGATATTTTCGGCCTTTTGAAATTAACTTCCTGCGTGGGCACAAAAATGCCAGTTATGGACAAGGAAGAGGCAGGAGAGGTGGTAAATTCGCTTTTTGGGGAACGTCAAATTAGTAGCGCGCTCAGATTTATTTGCTTCACTCCTCCGGCGATCTGACGGATGTGAATGAATTGCCATCACTGGCATTCATAAGTGGCTGCTGACGTAGTTACCAAAAACGCAGTGTCCTCTGGCCTTAACCAATATCCGCAGTCTTTTCCCAAAGCTATATGTTACTTGAGAGCTTGATTGATTATAATTGATTATAAACTGATCAACTAAATCATGATGTCGAAAAAAATTTTGTAAATACAAATTGATTTAATTATTTAAAAAATGAATTATTAAAATTTGTAAATGGATATATATCAGAACAGAAAAATTATATACTTTAAAACGGCACACTATGGCTATAAAAATGCAAGATTAGTAAAAATCTTTTACACAAAAATTAAAGAAAGTTCTGTAAAAACATAATTAAAAGACAAAAATATATTTTTCCAGGATATGAGGGCCTCCTCATTAAGGACCATATTCTGTATTATTATAGAATATTAAAATTAATAAAAAAAAAAAAAAAACGATGACTGTATGCTTGACACCGTAAAGAAAAGGAAATGAAAACAGCAAGCCAGAAGTACCGCGATAGTTAGGAGTTTAATCCGAATATGAGAACTTAAGGCTTACATTATTAACTAATCTGTTACGGTACGGTATATGTATTTGTTTCTAAATATTCGGATTTTCCCTTTGGTTACCAATTGATCTTTTCAAAATCTGGTTTTCATATCAACAGGGCTAGCAAATTGATTCGCTAATGACTTGTTTACAACAATTGCCACCTCCACCTCCCAGTACATGTCCATCTGGTGTAATCAGTTCGGCTGGATGCGATTGCTTCGCCAGCCTGTTGCTACTGCGAATCAAGCGTGCTCCTCCCACTGCCCCCAAATCCCTTCTCCTCAGCCACGCCCCTGTGGCACCCCCGCAGCTTATCGCATCGCACCAAAAACAAATTAGTTGATAAGCAGCTGACGGTGCTCAAAAGCAAGGCGATCAAAATATTTGACAACAAACACACGGGCTAAGCTGCCAGAGTTGATGAGTGTGCCCACCGATGCTCATCTATGCAATCGCTAATCAGTTTGTATATTAGCCACAGCAGCCTCAACTGGCCGACTTTTGACTCGGTCATTCCAAAAACCCCCCTTAAGCCACCATGACTTAGAAATTGAATTCATACATGTGATATTCTTAAGTTTCTATTGTTTATTTTGTATTTAAAATAATACCAGCTCTTGCAATATAATTAGATCTGTAATGCACTTTTAAGAGCTGGATGGATGGACGAATTGTGTTTTAATTGGCCTAAAAGCAAACCAACAAAAAGTTCAAAAGTAAAAAAAACGAATAAACTGTTGAGGTTCCCGAATGCACAGCGAATTGGTCTGAGGTGGAAGAGTTTGTGGGAGATAGCAGGTATGGTTGACAGTTGACAGCTTAGAAGAGGGAGCGGAGAGCCCAAAGACCCATTAGGGAGCTAAGAATGGCGCTTACGCTGGCCAGGCCAAAGGAGGTGGAGGCTCCATTGTGGGCAGTGCAGATCCTTGGCTGGGGAGCGGACACATACTGGCAAATGGTGCCGATGAAGTTCACCTGGGCGCGTTCGTTCACCTTCTTTTCAAATTGCTGAAAAATAAACAAAAGGGGACAATTATAAATTTTGTGTATTATTTTATAAAGAACTGTATAATAAGAGCAAACTTTTTATGAATCACGAAACCAAACTTGTGATAACTTTTGACAGTAATATTGCTAACTAAAATTTTTAACACCTTAGTGCTTACAGATTTTTATTTACTCTCATTCTTGGAAAAAGAGTGTTTGTGTTACTTAGAAAGCAGACTTTTTGTCAATAAATAAATACATGTATACAATAATCTAATTCTTTAAAACTTCAAAGTTTACCTCGTTGAACAAGATGGTGGGAACACTGGTCAGAGGTTCCTTGAGACGTTGGGTGGCTTCACCTGCCTTACGGAGCAACTGACTACCCTCAGTGCTGTTGGCACAGCTCTTGATGTTCTCCCAGTTGTTGACGTGGTTCTCAGCGGCGCACCGCTGACCTGGGTACACATTGTCGGGGAAATTCTTTCCGGCCTTCATCAGGCAGTTGACAAAGTCCAATGTCAGGGATTCGCGCGTGAATTCAATCTGATATGAGTTGGCCTGAATGTGTTCAATGGCACAGGCATGCACTTTGTTTCCATAGCACTCATTCGGGCCGTGATGGCAGGTAAAGGTAACCTCAGAGCCCTGAGTAGAGAACTGAAAACCAAAAGGCTCGCAAACGAGCCATGCAAATGAGCTATTGTCTTTGGCAAAAGTCAGGCAGAGAGGATACTCACGTGAGATTTTCCGAAAGGAACGAAGGTGAGGTCCACCACCTCTCGTAGCTCTCCCTTCATGGCAGGATACAGCTGCTCCGTAATGAACTTGGCACTGTCAGGGCACAGAGATTCATAGTAGACTGCAACAGGGACCTACGATATAAAGAAAGCATAAAATAATTATATATTAGGAATTAGAGGTGTATATTAGGTGTATTAAAGCTTTGGCTTAATATATTGAAATGGGCGGTGGATATGAAGTAGAAATTAGCCCTACATTTTAACGGTCTTTTAACATAGTTTACAAGACTTATTGTTGAAATATTAATATAATATCCTATACCTTCAACACTTATTTAAAAATTTAATTTTTTTTATATCCAAAAACTGCTCTTTTGCATCTCTGTTTGAGTAGAATTTTAAAATATGCCGTATTCAAGAGTGCAGTTTAGTTTGGGCATGCAAATCATGTATGGCTGAATGGGCCGGACCCAAATATTGTTATTCCATGTTTGTCATTTCAGCCCTCTGGCACATGCTCCAAATGACCAGAAAAAATATTATGGAACTTGAACTAACACACATATAAGATGGTAAATGGTATAAGATGGTATAAGATAAGTAAATAAATAAATTTAAAAAAAGAGTGAATCAATATATGAAAATATGTGACTGAAACTCTGTCACGAGTCACGAGGTTTTTATGGCTTAACAGAACATAAAACAATAATTATACAAAAATTTATTTGATTCCGTATTTACGCAACTAAATTAGCTCGGCAGATATGGGTTTGTTAACTGGAAGATACTTCTCCAATTTAAATGCGATATATATTGGCTAAGAAATATAATATCTATAATTTGTACAATTTTTTCTTTCATGATCTATCCAAAGCAATTTTCAAACGAAAAATTTATTTACATAAAAATAAGCATAAATGCTGATCTCAGCGTAATTTTTTTGGAGCAAACGCTTTAGAGTTAAAGCTTAGGAGAAGCAATATCCTCCATATGAAATGTATAATGTACAACTTTATTGTATTTTTTTCTGTTTAGAATTAAGTCAATAGCACTAAACAAATTTATCTCGATTACTGAAAATTACTTACAACTTCTATTCATAAATTCAAAAAAATAATGATTATAGATTAAACCAAACAAGCGGGGAGGCAATCAACAGAAACAGTATATTTAGTTGTGACCGTGACTGATGCGCAATTCGTTTACTCTTAACTAAACGAAAAAAAGAAATAATCATAAATGAGTTTGAAAAGTGTTATATTATATACACAAATGCAAATTGTTTATTTGCTGAAGTTGAAGTTATATAAAGCCGCTGACACATCGTAGAAAGAACCCAACGTTTTTAACAAAGAAGAAATAATTAAAAAGATATGTACACCGAAAGAAACTTTATAATTTTACTTCAGGACAAATATGCGGGATCCTAATATTATATCGTTTGGGGGGCTAATGGAATTATATTACTATCCAAAGAATATAAAATGGAACCATCAATGCGTATGCATAGAACTTGTATAAATATTTCTCCGAGTGTTTTAATGGAGTTGCAGTTGGGGTACCGGCACACACCGGTTCTGTCTGTGAGAAATTGAAACTGGTCTGGGAACCGGTTTTGAGTATCCAAATGAAAATAACAACAGAGCATCAGGTTGCTCTCCGCGGCTTATTTATAATGTCAATTATGCTCTATGCTTTTCCACTGTGGCATTTTCCAGCTTATGGCGGTGGTTCGTTCAACTCATTTAATGCCACTTGTTGCTGCCACAAAAAGGGTGCAGCTTTTCTATGGGTTTTTTTCTCTCCAATTTCAATTTTTTAGCTTAAGCTTTAATCACGTCTTCACCTACATAGTATATGCTATTTTTTGGCCCTGACACGCTTCGTTGTTGGGTAATATTTTGCTTGCCGACTAATTTCGATTTTTGCTTGGTAGTGTTAGTCTTAGTTTTCACCTGAGGCGGAAACTCACCTTAGCTGCACTATAAGCTGAGGCAATCAGGCAGCTCATCATAAGAAAAACGGCGGCGATTTTGTGACTCATTTTCGAGCTTCTTGTTCTTCTGGGCTTAATTTATTATTTTCCTTTATTTCGACTGTACACGTCAGCACTGCTGCTTGATGGTTGTGTACGGTTTGGGGTCTAAGCGCGAACTGTTGTTTCTCCAAGAGAGCTTCACGCTATAACCCAAACCCCAACGGATTTCCAGACTGGAAGTGACGTCAACAGCGACTGCAATGGCAGCAGAGCAGAAGCCTGACCTGCATGCATAACGCATTGGGCCAGTCTTCACTGTATTGTATGTATATCAGAAGTATTCCAGTGATCGCAGACTTACTTTTCCAGCTTGATTTAAGCCCTATCTGGTCTGCTTAAGGGTATTTCTAAGAAAGAAGTGTATTTAATGTAAAATAATATAGATTTTTTTTCTTTTAAAACCATCATATACTCAATAATAGGACCTAATTTAAGGTTTAAAATCTACCAAGTACCCTAAAATTAGATTATTGAGCTTAATTTGTGTCTTGGCAGCAGTCCCCCATGCCATTTGTTAAGAAAATGTTTTTGGTTTACAAAATAAAACCTCACAAAAAAAATTGTTTAGCCGAAAACATTGTTACCAAACTTTTGTTACCTGTGGGAAATCAACCCTAACATTCATGCCATTCCCACCAACAGTGGTAAAAAGTACATTTGCATAACTTGTTCTTTTTGTTTATAAATATTGGAATTACAGATTAACATGAACAGGATGTGGGAAGTACATTTCCCGGCTTTTTAATCACGAAACCGAAATCCTTTGGCTGTCAAATCCTTGCGCGCCTCCAAAATCTCAGCTTGAAGTTCCTTGGCAGCTTCAGGACAGTCGTTGAATGTAAAGGTTCTGTACAAGACGGTCCAAACGGAGAAGATCTAGATAGGATTGATGCAGAAATATTAATCATGGAACCTTATCAGTTCTTCGTAACAATTACCCCGAAGAGCACCAGCAAAAGAAGCGGCAGCAGTTGAATGTGTAGCAAGTATTTGTTGGTGAATTGGGTTTGCACAGTTCCCAAAACGATGGACAAGTAGGGCACCGCAAAGAGCGATGCATAGAACAGCCAGCGTTGTAAATTTGTCATAATTAAGAATTTTAAAAGTCTATAAAATTAAAAACAAAATAAATATTCTACACGTAAACAAGAGAGAATTCCAAGAGGTGGAACCTTAGGAGCGATATACCAAATAAATCGCTATCGATAGTGTGACCAGTAAAAAAATACCGCTAAAATTTATGAGGCGGTTAATTTAAAATGTAAAATGTTTTTAGAATCTAATTTTTTAGGAATTAAATAAACAATCTTCGTTGTTCATATTTTAAAGATTTTAAATAATCTTTTCAATAGAATACAGTAAACTTATATTTTAATCCCATTACAGCTTATTCCTTCTTATATTTCCTTCTTTTCCTGTAAGACACATAAACAAAAAAAACATTTTTCGTTTTTAATAAATTTGGGAGCTTAATATAATTTATTTTTGCTTAAATAAGTCTTACATATTATGCTTTTAAAACCAATAGCCCGCCACGCTGAGTAGCTTATCAACAGTCGAGTGTTGTGACAAGCAGCTTTTTAGAGTGAGCAATTCAAATATTCATTTATCATAGATAGCAGTTTAAAACCTATTATATTAAAAACTAAGCTGACGTAAGTGTAGTATTTCTGGCCCCCACTGTACAGGGTGTATTGGCAATCAGGTCAGCTGTGCGGCAGCCTATTATCTGAAACTTGACCTCTTTCTCTGGCAAGGCAGCTCCGACAAAAAGTCTCGGTTCGCTGCTCAAGGCCCAGAGCTCCTCCTCTCCTTTGGCATTTCTATTGATCTTCAAGCCCGTGACGAACTTGATCTTCTGTGGATTGAAGGCCACCACTTGAATGTCATCCGCCGTATACTTTGACTTTCCATCCCAGCTTATCAAGGCGCCCAAGCTAATAAGGCTGCAGAAAAGGTTGCCCGACTGGTCCATCACCTCTGATTCGCATTGGATTCCCCGGGTGCCAAGTATTCGAAAATGTCCTGTGACATCGGTTACATTCGGAGATTGCCAAAAAGTTTCGTTGTTGATCAGTGAGAGAGGTACTTTCACCTCGTTGAAGGCGTTTAGAGTGTGAAAGTATAGGAAACGTTCTGAAAATTACACAAAAAGTTATACGTTAAAAAAAGGATTTAAAGAATCAACCAAATTCATCAAATAATTACCTTCCATTTCACTAGGACTTATACTGACAGTGAAAATTCCCGCCTGAGAGCTACCAGGACGAACCAACTCCGCCACCGTAGATGGTTTCATGAATTCGTGTTCTATTCGCCAAGATCTGCCAGTCAGGGAATCAAAAACAATAAGTCCATACCCCCAGGCGTCGGCAATATAGGCTTTACCACCCAAACATCTATTGGGTGTTCCACTCTCCGCTAGATCCACCACCAAAGCAGTGAAGATGGAAACGTTGGGAGTATAGGAATTGGGAGGCAAAGAGTGACGTTGAATTAACTCGTCCTTGACTAGATCGAAGGTTAGAATTTGCGGCGGACACAACTGTATCGAGTTTACTTGACCAGAATCCACAACCCACAGACGCCAGCATTCATCGATCTTGAAGGCAAATATATGTTTTTTAGTAAGCATACAGCTATAAAGAAATATAAAACTCACATAAGTTCTAATAGCTGATGTAATGCCTGAGCAGTTATTTGGTGGCAGATGCCACTCCTCGCTTGGATAAGGCTCCAGTCTGGGATTTTCAATAACATCATTGTCATCCGCAACCACAGTGGCCAGTGTAAAGGGTGTGGTCATGCTCAGCCTTGGAATCGTGAGAAAAGTACGGTGTCTGCCCTCATCCCCATACTCAATATCCACGTCGACGGGCAGGAAGCGATTTCCTTTAGCTTGATCATCTCCTAAACTGAGATTCGACCATCGGTGGAGCGTGCGCAGATCCTTGAGAACCAACGGCTGTCCTTGCAGGACATCAAAAAGACCAACAAGGGTTACAAATGTAACACTGACCAAGATCTTAGACAGATCCATACTGTTCAAACGATTTCCGAAGACTGAAGATGCACAGGTAGGCGCGATTGAAGGTGTTAGCCTTATGCTTAATGTGCACTTAAAAAAAAAAGGTTCGCAACTTGTAACTGATATTTCATTAGAATATAAGGATACCCTTCTCAATATTAAATTCTAAAGATAAGAAAGTAAAAACTAAGAAAATTTGTTTACTTTTTTGTTTAATAATTTCATTTAATCAGTAAAAATAATTTTGGGCAGTGTAATTGACCATCGACCGACCAGATAAAAGGTCGTGTACCTGTGGCGACCAAGCAAACACTTTCGAATGGCCCTAAGATTTATGGATGGACATCTTTTATGGCGGCTTAAAGAGTGTTTACACAGCCTCACAGTCACTTAAAATTTGGGATGAGGGTATCGGATTTGGTATTTCGGATCTCGGATCTAAAAGCATCCCCGCCCCTGCAACAGGTCATCCACATCGCAACGCAAGACCCAATAATTGATCTCGGTGTAGTCAATGGTTCCGGCAAATATCTTCTGCAGGCGGTTTGAGAACAGCCATAGTTCCTCCCGCCCATCGGAGGGCCGACTTACGATCTTCAAACCGCTCACAAATTGTAGGGTTTCAGGATTCAGAGCCACCAGTTGAACGTTTTGCGGATTGTAGGGTGAGCGTATGTCCCAGGCAAAAATCCCAATCGGATCCAAGAAGCCGCAGAAGAGAAATCCTTGGCGGCTAATTGCATGAGAAGCACACTGAACGCCCCTCCGGCCCAAAGTCACAAATTCCGAAAGCGAGGAAGCAAGACCCTTCTGCCAATTTGTTGCATTGTTGAGGACATCCAAGGGAATGGCCAACTCAAGTTCATTGGACAATGCGTGGAATATCAGATGACGTCGCAGCCCTAAGCCTAAAGGAGTCACTGCCAAGGCGAGAGGACCATCAAGAAGCTCAAAACTTTCTCCGGCCACCGTATGGGTTCCAAATTTGGCATCGGGGTAGGTGAATTTGTTCTCCACCCGCCATGACTGTTGACCCAGCACATCGTAGACCACAATGGCCTTGCTGGTGGGATCGGCCAGATATGCGAATACATCCTTGCACTGGCCCTGCGGCGGTGGGTCCCGGATATCGACCAGGATGTTCACAAATCTACTTACTCCTGCTTTGAAAGAGGTTGACGGCAAGCGGTAGCGGTGAATCAACTGATCTGTGGCCAAATCAATGACTACCACTTGGGGTGCGCAGTGCTGCACAAACTCAATTTCTCCACTATCCAGGATCCACATTTGTCCACAGGCATCGATGTGAACCCGGTAAACTGAGGTCAAGCCATCGCAGTTTCTTCCATGGCTACTGTGCCATTGGTAGCTGGGATAGGCCTGAACCTCTGTGCCATTTGCTCCTTGGAAACTGGTGACATAAGCCAGAGAATACGGTACTCCTTGTCCAAATCGAGGTGTGGTAATAAAGTATCGTGCAGGGCCTCCGTTTTCTGCCAAACAAGAATGTGAATTAAATTCCGCTCTTAAACTGGAAATATAAAACTTACGTGGATAGTACACATCAATATCAATAGGTATGGGACTATCTGGATTATAATGACCATTTCTCAAGACTTCCTGGCGTTCCTGTTCACTTGGAAACCCGTACTGTATGTTTTTCCATTCAAAAACTCGAACAAGTTCTTTGTACTGTGTTGGGAATTTAAAAGGCGGTAACTTTGGCTTCGGACGGTTTATACTATACTGATACTGGGATAACGAGAAGCTTGGAAATGACACCAATAAAATAAGAGGAAGAATTAACCTGAAAGAAGCCAAAAGTAGTTAAACTCCTTTTAAAAGTATCAGGTGGAACTTACATTTTTCTGATTATTTCGTTGGCTCTGTGGTCCTTCTTCGAGGGCTCTTGCCGTTAAACTAAGCTACCAACCGCCAAAAAACCGTAAAAATTGTGAAACAATAAAAACCCCCAATTTAAAATGGCATATCACACTCGCTTTTAACTGGTTTTTAAAATGTATACTGTATCGACGTTTGTATGTTTTTTTCCTACATCTTTTTTCTAGAGTCTCATCTTTAAAAATACTCTTGATTAGAGTGATGTAACTTTCAAAATTAAATTTTTTTATATTTATGTGTTTGTATTTGTTTATTAAATATGTAAATGTTCTATAACTTGTTGGCCTTTTAATTTGTTTTGTTTTTAAAATGGAAGTGTATACCACAATTCGTCCAAACCATTGGTTCGTATGGGAGTAGACTACATACATAAGTAATCAAAACTGAAAACGTACGAAAGTGTTGATCTGAAACATTGACATTGAAAATACCACAGACAAAGGTTGAATTATGTCACAGGTGCTATCAGTAATCTGACTAAACAAATGTTTATATTTTAATTTCCTATTCAGTAGTTCAAAGGTATTTAAGAGGTGAACGATTGGTTGCGGAATTGATAATTAATCATTTGTTTAGTTTTATGGTTCTATGCAATCTAATTCATTACAAGAACTATTAGTGCTCTGATTTAATCATTGGATTTGTTGGTAATTGATTTTAAAAATATTGCGGACCCTTTTAATATGCAAATTGATTTGGTTAGCTACGCCAACATAAACTTAGATTTTAAAAATGAAGAAATCAACTTATTAAATGAATCTAAAACTAGTTTAACTGTCATTTCACACCTCATTAATGTCGGAGCTCAGTTCAACGGTAATAACTTGTCTGTAATCTGACTTAATTCGTTTGATTATTTAAAAATTGTTTGGCAATTAGGAAATTCTGTTTGTACAGTTTTATTGCGGCTTCATAATATTAAAACAAAGCTTTACAGATATTGCTTTGGATGCCGCAAGGTCATAAAAGTTTAATGAGTTCGAATGCGGTTTTATATAAATATATATATTTATCTTTCCCTCATTTCCAGGTTGAGGATATTAAATAAAGTGATGGAGATATATGTATACATATTGTGGCTTGTCTTTTTGATCAAAATGTCCCATAAACTGAGTAACTGAGACATTTTTTTAAAATTTATTTACATATGTAACTGATATTAGAAAGTGCCTGATATGATTGTGTTTAAATTGAATTCCACTTGTTCGAATGCATGCTAAAATTGCAATCTTGTATAACAAATCTGTCCACAATGCCCCTGTACAATTTGTTTCTTGTTTTCCCATCAATTATTGTCCGCTGCAGGTGACACTATCTAAATCCAGCGGCGCCTGCCACCAACCGGTTTAACATCAAAATTATTAATTGTAATCAAAACGTAAATAGCATGAACACCAAAACTGGTCATTTAATTTGACTTTTGCCAAATATCATTCTTTAAAAATTTCATATAACCTTACTCTACTTATCAAAATATTAATGACTAGGTGTTAATGGGTACCACCTCCTCAAACATTTATCAGTTCATCTTAGTCGAATAAAAAATCAAACATTTATTTCCGCAAGATAATTAGCATCTGAACGTTCAACAATCTCTAATACCCTGTTCCAGATACCCCTTATATGTCCAAACTAATCTGTCACAGGTGCAAGACTCGTTTACAGATTATAGTTAATGTCCAAGTTAATCAATGGGCCGTGACACAGACACTCAATGCATGCAAATGTGGAAATAATCTGCTTTAAATAGTCATCAGGTCTATAAACGTTTAATTATTTGGCATGAAAGTTGGTATATGAATTGATCTTGTTTAATACGGTTTGTATAGTTGGTGAGGAAAGGAAAAAAAAGGTGGTGTTCAATAGTTCTGTGTTTAAAAGTAAAAGACTAATGTACTTACTGGCTAATCGAACCAAAAATTATTTTAGTAAAGTAATTACAAATAAGACTATGGAAAGTCACTCGAAAATGTATACTCATCCATCAAAAGAACTTGTGAATCAACTCACATTACTCAAAACATAAGGGGTCTAACTTAAGGCAAGACATTGCAAATTAGTAATAGGAACATTATCTGGGTTACGCATCGTTATGATTATGATGATAGTCACAAATAAAATATTTATGGAACATAATTCTTTTTGGAGTGTTTATGTTTTTAGCTGTGTCTGATTTTTAGTCAATCTCTAACAGTCTTTGAGAGCAGACCTTAAATCCAAATGATGGAAAAAAGCCTTATCCTATTTCTGTTACTGCTGGCGAAAGCGCATGCTACACCATATGCCCAAGACATTCTCGAGGAAGAATGGAGGGCATTTAAAATAGAATATAACAAGGAATACCAGAACGAGACCGAGGAGCGACTGCGGCTTAAAATATTTTTGCACAACAAGCTGTTGATAGCCCGGCACAATCTTAAATGGGCTGCTGGAGAAGTTAGCTTCAATTTAACTGTGAACCAATTTTCCGATCTGTTGAACCATGAATTCAAAGACCTCATGTTTGGACAAATGACCCCTGATGGATACCAGTAAGTGATTTCTCGATGTATTTTTAGATAAATATTCAGCACAACTTACTTTCGTGTATTTTCAGGTTTGAAGGCTCTACTTTTCTGCCGCCAGAGAACTTGACTCTGCCGGAATCGGTTGATTGGCGCAATCACGGATTTGTTACTCCTGTAAAGAACCAGGGTACCTGTAGAAGTTGCTGGGCTTTCGCCGCTACTGGGGCACTCGAGGGACAGCATTTCCGCAAAACAGGGAATTTGGTATCCCTTTCCGAACAGAATTTAATTGATTGTGTAACATCCACGTATGGTTGCAAGGGCGGAAATCGTATAAATGCTTTCCATTATATACACAATAATGGCGGCATCGACACTGAAAGTTCGTATTCATACAAGGCTGCTAAAGGCAAATGCCACTTCATAAGAGATACGATTGGCGCGACCTGCTCTGGGTTTGTAAAATTGAAGGGGGGAGACGAGATGGAACTTGCCAAAGCAGTGGCCACAGTCGGACCAGTATCCGTAAGCATAAACCCTTCAAATTCATTCCGGCATTACCATAGTGGAGTTTACTATGATCCAACTTGCCGCTCCGAACATTTAACTCACGCTGTCTTAGTCGTTGGTTATGGCACCGACGAAAAATATGGCGATTTCTGGATAGTAAAAAACTCTTGGGGCTCCCATTGGGGTGATAAGGGTTACATTAAAATGAAACGCAATGCTAATAATCTATGCGGTATTGCGAGCAATCCTTCTTATCCGTTGATTTAATTTAAAGCTGGCTTTATCATAGCGCAAATAAAATGAGTAATGTGGGCTGAGTTAAAAAGATACACACAAAATTAGTCATTAAATCATTTAAATAGTATGATGTTCCAAGAATTATGTTTACTCTGGAATATTAAAACACTTAGCTGATAAACTTGATAAATAAACTTAAATTTGTAATAAGCTGACATGAAATGAAATAGACGTCGTCAGATTCCCAGGATTTCAAGCCCAAAAAATTATAGGATCGGATCAGTTTTGTTAAATTAATTTAATCAATATAGATTTTTAAAGATTTATTTACATCGGCTGCTCTTCTCATGGCGCATACGCAGCGTGAACACACAAGTTACTAATAGTTTACTTATTCGGATAAGTTTGCTTAAGTTCCGCGCTGGTAGTAGTAGCCACTGTGCCGGGTGGTGTAGGCGGTAGTTGGCACCGATGACACACGGGTGGTAGCCGCCGGGGCTGTGGTACCCACTAGAGTGTCCAGATAGGAGCGCTGGTAATTATCCCGGGTCGCCTTGCTGGGCGGAAAAGCTTCTCCCTGGTTTAGAGCAGTGAACGGATTGCGGGCCGCGTAATTTACAATGCCACCGACTTCGAATTTGTAGGGTGTTTTGGTGGTGAATGGTGTGGTCAGTCCCGGACTGGTGAAGTAGGTCTGCAGAGCGTTTGTTGAAGCTTGGGAATGGGTATTGTAGAGTCCATAGTTCAGGATACTGTTGTGGGTGGGAGCGGGAGGCAGAGCGAGGCGGTGACCCAATAGGGAGCTGCCAGAGGGTAACTCCAATCTGACGATGCGATTATTGAACTCACTGGGATTTAAGTTCTTTAGGAAGAACCGATGGAACTTTGAGGAGATGGCATAGATCACGCCTGGCTCCGATCTGGTGGTAGTTATATCCGCTACAAACTGCAGCTGATCCCGATCGTAGGCCAAAACAGATTGTTGGTTGGTGGTGGGATTCCACGAGGCGATAGCTGTCTCACTCAGAGGAGCAAAGATCAGGCTACTGTCGAATGGGTTAACCGAGAGTCCAATGCCTTGGGAGCTCTTCTTGCCGACAAGTTTTACATCCAGCATTTTATTGTCTGGCAGTGGACCTGCTCGCAAGACATTCTTGTGAACGGAGAAAACTCTGAAAAAGTAGGTGTATCAAAGTTGTATTAAATAAACAAACTAAGAAAAAATTTTGAACTCACCTATCTGTGGCTAGGGGCTGGAAGTATACCACCCCTGAACGCTCATCAAAAGTCAGGCCCACCACTCCGTCCATCAAAACGAACTGGTACTCATGGATCTCCGACTGAGCGAAATCCGGATCGGGATACATGGCCGGATGCGATACCCGCCATGTAACGTCCTTGCCACTGTCGTAAACTATTATTCCCGGCTCCACGGTGTCCGTGATGTATACGAAGACATCATCGCAGCCCTTGGCTGTCGTCTCATCGATCACCATGTTGGTGAAGAGGGATTCGCCGCGCAGGACTTCTGGAGGGAAATCAATTCGCCTTACAACTCGATCCGTCGCCAAGTCTACCACTAGGATTTTGGGTGGACAGGTGACTTCAAAGTCTTCCAGAGATCGGGAAATTCCAGCATCCAGGAGCCAAAGCCGATTACACGAGTCCAGACGGAGCCGATAGACTGATGTCAGGATCAGATCGCTGCAGTTGAAGTCACTGCGACCGGTATTTGAGAAGGACCAATCAGGAAAGGCATTTAGGGTGGGTGAGTCCCCAAACTGATCCTTGGAAACCCAGCTGACAGTGGAGGATACTCCCGAGAACAATTTGGGGGTAGCCACAAAAATGCGATCCTCCGTAACGGCCAATCCTGTGATTAAGACATTCTGGCCATTGTAGAAATTAGGATCACTTACAGGAGCCTGGGGCTCGAAGTTGTAGCGAAGGAGCTTCCACTGCTTGGCCACTTGTAAGCCAGGAGCCAGAGCCTGGATCACAGATGGCCAAAGGATTAAGCAAGTCACTCCAGCTAAGATGCGAAACATGGCAAGAATTGACTGTAAAAGATAGAAGCCACAAGAACTGGAATTAGTAGATGTTGTATCGCACTCGGATCAGAATCCCAACTGATGGCTCTCAGATTTGGAAGGGGTTTATGTATCAATTCTGTTTCCGGACTTTTTCCGGACAATAATTGGTGAAGGAAAACGGACTTGGAGATATTCCCAGCTTATAGAAATATTGATTTTCAAATTAAAACCATTGAGAAATGTAAAATAGTTATAAACAGGCACTGAAAAAAACCTCTATTGTTAAATATTTAATTAGGTTTTATAAATTCTAAATTTAAGGCTGTCAAAATGAAAAAATTTCTTCACTTAAAATTGAGTTTAATAAAAAAATGAAATAAAAATGCATAGAAAGCTAATTATAGTCCTAAGTTAAAATTATTGTACATTTTGTTGGGGTTTATTTTATTTTTGAAACAAGTTGCAACCCCAAGCCATAAATAAATAATAAATCAGAAAAGTTCCAAAGTCCCTGGGTCGTGATATTGTATGAATTACCTCCAAACGATTAGCAAGTCGTTTTAATCATTTGCAGATGATGAATTTTTAATTGCTTATTTATAATCTGCATACAATACCCTAACCTATTTTATAGGATTCCCAGGTAGTTTTATAAATCTATAGGTGCCCTTTCTAAATAGCCTTAATTGCAGATGCAGATACAGTTGGAGGTTGAGATACAGATACAGATGCTGACGCCGATATAGATTGCATGCAAATGTGCCAATTCCGGAGTAGATGCCGGCATGCGGATTGCAGATTTGCAGACTACGATCTGGGCTTGGCGATTGTATGCAAATAAGATTGCTATGCAGTTGGGTCAGTTCGCCGATTGAAGTATCCGTATCCATCAGATACTTGCGCTTGCAGTTGTATCTGCGTGAGTGACAAGTGTGTGTGCTTTAATTTCTCACGTTAGTAGTATCCCACTCACATTCACGATCTCAATGAACAGATGCAAGAGGTGCACTGTAGAAAAATTGTGTAAAATGATGCAAGAATTGGCAGATATTTCAGTTCATGGAATTATAATCCAAACTGCATTTAAATACAGAATTTTCAATGGTGTACTGACCAGATAAATGGGATTTTTAATTGCCAAATAAGCTTGGAAACTGCAGTGATACAAGGAACTGACAGTTTGATTTGCTTTCCACCGGTTAGAGCAAAGCCCCTTGCTCGGCATTCGGATATTTGGCCAATTGGATGTAGGCTCTAGTCTCTGACGGCCTGAAATTACATATTATTTACTGTCGCGGCCAACTCCCATACTCGTTTGCATCTGGCAAATTGCAATAAACATGGCAAACATGTTGTGTGAAACTTTCATTGGCGCGTGCCACGATAAGCAGTTAAAGATAATTGAATTTTTGTAATTTTCAAGCAAGCAACTGCCATTTGATGAATTACATAAAAGAAAATAGCTGAAAGTCAAGGCTGATTCCGGCGCCACACGCATCACAAAGATTTATTTCTGCGTACTCGCGCACTTTACATAACACTTGTGCAACCCCAAGCGGAAACATGAGCAGTTTCCCAAGCCCAAGCCCAATCCCAAAGAAAAGAAATGAAATCGCAGCGTTGAATATAAGAAAAGCATTTGGGTTTTTATTCGCCTTGTTTCTCGTTATTTTGTGACAAGTATTGGGCCCAAGCGGAACAGGCCATTTCAAGTTGTAAGTCAAAAGTTAAAAGCCACAAACCGCAAAGATACTTTTTATACTTGTTATTATTACCATTTTTTATTCGGGTAATGTTCGCATTTCGGTTGATAGTCAGTCATGTTGATGAGCCATGGCAGGCCAATGAAATTTCGCTTAATTTTCGTTTAATTTGTCTATTAAATCTGAACACGAAACTGTTTGAAAGCAAAGCCTGAAAACGACTTGAGTGCACGATAGAAACCCCTTAGAAAAATTATTAAATACAGGTATTTCAATGAAATATCTGACAGTATAACCTTTCAACAATGGTTGGCTTATTTATTTTTATTATAACAGAAATTTCGAACATAAATCTTTTCAAAAGACAATTCGGCCAACAAAAGAAATATCTGTTCGGCTATTTATTAATAGTGCCCTGTGAGACTATGTATGTGTTGCAAGCGAATGTGTTTTTCCCTTTTGGCCGCCAGAGGCCAATTAAGAAATGTGACTTCAACCTAGTTGCACTAACTAGTGCTAGTTAGTACATGCTACGCGGCGATCGTGTGTTACCTTATCTGAATCTGCTATGTAGTCTGTAGAGCGCAGTGTGTTCTCACACGTCTCACAATGAACCTGCAACCAAAAATATTTAATTACCACTGATTGTATTACTTTGATCTTATTTGAATCGGTTATTTTTGGTGTTCTCATAAAAACAAAAACGGAAAACTTAAGCACTGCAACGGAAGACACGTTTTGACGGAGGCTGATTAACACCTGTCTGTAAATTTGTTATTTTTGCAATCGGCGGAAGAGGTCGCTGTCTTAGCTTCCTTAATGCCAACATGTGTATCGATCTGTGGTCATAAATCCCGTCTAAGCCACCAGTCACGATGGCTGCACTTTTGGCGGCGATCGATTTTAATTGGTAGCGAAAACGACAAAAATGCGTCTACCAAAAAAAATCAACAAAACTTAATTAACACAGTTCCGTTCTCCGGCAGCGGCTTCTTTTTTTGGGCTTCACGCACACACAAACACACACACGCGATTGGCGCATTTGGCTAATAATTCGCAATGTGCAACTTTGTACCCTTGGCTATGGCTATTGATTTGCCAATTAGCTTACATGTCAGTGTTGAATGGGATTTTGTTTCTTCAAGAATGCACTTAGAGAGAGAGAGTGGCATTGGCAACGCCTAAAGACTTATTCCGAAACCGAAACTAAAACTGAAATCGAAATCGAAAATCAAAATAAAATGTAGCGTAGCAGTTCGTTAACTAAATGCATGGCAATTTGCACTTTAACCGTTAGAAACCGCACTTTGCGACGTGCTGCTGTTCGCGTTCGTTGCCTAAGTCTTTTGTTTTGTGGCCAGGCCAATTTGCTGTGCATCTGGCATTAGCTTACTTTTGAGGCACTTGAGGTGGATGTGGTTTCTGCTGCTGCTGCCGCTGTTGCCACCGTTGCTTTTGCGGTTTGTATAACTCTTGATAATGACTTACTTTCTAACCGATCGCGCGACACGTCCGCGCAGTTGTGTTGCCGTTTTGCGACTGCGCTCCGTTTGCCAGGCGCACCGAACTTTATAAGAGTGTGTCTTGGAAGCCTCCTGATCGCTTTTCCTCCATATCTCTTATATTCCAGGTGGATATTCAGAGCAACCCGCTTTGCATGGAATGCCAGACATCGCTCATACGCTCTGTTGGCCGCTGGGAAAATTATTAGCTAGCAGCAAGTCTTCCGCACATTTGCATTAAAGTGTGTAGGTTATGATTTTTGTCCGCTCGTCGGCCGATTGTTGTAATTCAGTTGTTATTCACAGCGGCAAGTTCATTATCACTATCAGCCAAACAAGGCAAGTAAACAAGTAATTTGCAAATTTTGTTGCCTTTATAGCTGCGACCGTTTTGTCAATGGAGAGAGTCCATTGTACTGCTAAGGAATTTAAGGTATATGGGCAGTTATAAATTAAGTGTTCTCCGCTGGCTATTAAATTATCCTAACCAGTTCTAAAGGCCTGTTCAGTTTAATTGAAGATTTGTTTTAAAAATATGTTATGAATACGAGGGGTATTTAAATTTTCAGAACCCCCTCAATGGATAAATAATTACCCTGTCAACGGTAAGATTTATTTACCCCCTACTGTTGAATATATATTATTTAATTAATATTTCTTTATTTAATATTTAGTCTTTGGCTTAGACAGCAATAGCAGGACGACAGGTGGAAAATATTTAAACGGAGATTGGACTACCTACGATTGGAGTTGACCAGCTGGGCCGAACTGGAATCGGGTTTCGTAATACGTTTTGCATCTGGCCAATATTGGAGAGAGAGCGCACAAGCCGGCTCTAGCTTGGTCCAAATTGAAAATGGAAAGTACTCCGCGAAAAATGTTCTCTGCAATGAATTTCGCCGTCCGCCGAGCAGCTAACCCAAAAACGTGAAAAGCCCCAGATAAAAGGGGTTATGCAAAAAAGGAGAAACTGGTTTTCAGGCAGAATTAGCCAAGTTTGCATTAACTGCCTCGGCCTGATATTTGTTTGCATTGTGACACATTGAATTTGTTTACTTGCTTAAAATAACCACACAGTTTTTAATTTTAATATACGCGTAGTATTGAACATTTTGGGCGGGCAAAGCCCACTGAGCAAGGCATTAGCATCCGATGATTACCCTAATTAGCAAATGTAAATTCACTGGCACTGGCCAAGCCCCACTCGACATTCACTTTGTTGTCAGGGGTCTTTTCTAACTCACTCCTTTTATTTAAAATTGTGGTATTTTGTTGTTTGGCTTTTCGGAGAATACTTGTAGCAGAGCTAATACCAAGTTACGATCTAAATAGCCACTTATGTAGTACCGGTTCTAAACGCCAGTTCAAGGCTGTGGCCAATGTCAGCCGTATTGGCCAATGATATAACCAGGTAATCCAATTCCGATTACGAAATGCGAGCCGGGCGGAAACGTAGGTGGCTTGTGCCCAGCCTGGGGCAATTCGCGGCTATCAAAACTATCACAACTATCACAGTTTCCTTTCACAACAACGCCCTGGACCGATGCTCATTAGCCGTTTGGCTCGGCCGTTTCGAAAGTAACCAATCCGCGGGGAAACAAAATCTGTGGCAGCCACTCGCTCCATATGACTCGGTGACGATGAACACTTGAAGATTAATAGCCGCAACGTCTTGCGTTGGCTTAAGCCAGCTAACACTGAAAAAATCCGATTATGGAAATAAGCTTGCCAATCTCGTTTTATTTTTTAGAACATTGCCATATGCAATATTAATTAAATATTTTAATCGTCAATGACGTATACAGAAATAGTGGTGAAAAAATAAATATTTTATTATTAACAGAGTCTAAAATTGAAACAGAATCAATTATTAAAATAAAAAAATCATTTCAAAATCTTAATTTCTCACAGTATTGTCCACTAATCATACATGTACCTCCTCACATTGTGTCCATTACGAAATTTACTTTAAATATGCCTCGAATTGAGGCTTTCTGGCCGTCCGAGACCAATGGCATTCTCCAAATGCCTTGTCATCGTCAACGTGCAATTGCTTCATTTGCGCATTCTGTGCGCACAAATGTGAGTTTAATTGAATCAATCCGAAAAGTCGGAGGTAGATTTGCCCATTGTTGACAGTTTCATTACCGGCTCCGTCAGTGCGACGACAAGGTCTTGATGAATTTGGTAAACATTTCGGGCCATTTGGCTTTAGCCGGCGACCCTTGGTGCTAAACATTCTAAGTGCCGCCGCATTTCAATAGACTAATATCGCGATATCAGCGTTGGGTTTTAAGCGCTTTTAATGGCCCTCTTTAAGTGCTCGGCTTTTGGTTCTCCATAAATGCAGACCATTAAACCAATTAGGCCAATGTGGCTGAAGGCTCCACCTCCGCAAAAGGTGTGCCAATAGCCGGTTTCCCACAGCCACCCAGACAGATACAAATACATACCATACAGCCACAATTGTTTTGTTTCGTGGGGCGCATACTTTCATTTTCCGGCGATTGTGAGTACCTCAAGATTATCAATATCCTCCAATAATATCCAAGTATCATACTTACCGAACCAACTCATTGTGGCTGGAGTTATTATTCGACGATTTGCTCAATAAATCAATCTTTGGAGTACATATGGCCACCAGTTACTCAGTTATTCCAAATACAAAATGCACTGAAAATAAGCACTAGTTTCAATTATTGATGATAATTTTCAGTTACTCCGGGAATTGAAGTTATTATTGCTATGGAGTTTTTCTAGTGTAAGTATGAGTGTTTTTATTATTTTGACGAAGGTCAGCACCATGCCAAAAGTACTGCAACTGACTCCAAGTCTGACGCCTGTGGCCAATGCAAAGTATAGCCGCCTGAACTGAACCGATTTGCTATTGAGTATGGACAGAGAGGGGTGGACATGCATGTCGGCTTTGTTTTCAAACGTCAAGCCAATAAATTGCCTGAAATTCAAGCTGGAGGCATAACGAAATTCGAATACCTTTTTCAAATGAGTCACAATTGAAATGTATCTAAGCCATTGGCAAAAGTATGATTTGGATCTTAATGAGTAGATTCCATATTCAATGATTCCTTTTTAACAGATCATAAAACTAATGTTGAGTAATGTGTCTGAGTTCCCCCAAAAAATCAAATACTTTTTCTCTAAAGAGTATACAATTTTTTAAAATTAATATGATCTTTCATTAGCACACCATTTTTAGGAGCAAAAAAAAGGTGACAGCTTCTATTGTGGTAAAGAAAAAATATGTTTTAAAAAATTACCATACCCACGAGTCAACTGTTTTTTGCTTTTATTTTGGCTGATACATATACATTTCTCATAATTCAAATTAAATTATATAAAAGAACAGATAAGAGAACGCAGACATAACAAAAACATTCACCAATTAATGTGACTCGTCTGGTTAATGTATTTTGAATATCTAAAATACTTAACATATTTTGTAGATCATGAACACAGAATTCTAAATTGCTGAACTTTTACCAACAGCCATGAAGATCGAGTCAAACTTGAATAAATTGTTCCATTGCGAAATTACTCAATTGATTTTTAACTAACATCCATATTTGTAGCAACAATTTTATCTTGAATGTGTTTTGATCAATCTTGGTTAATCAATTGGAAGTTGAACGTTTCAACTAAATAAAGCAAGAACTTATTTACTTGAACATGCTGCTAATGACTTTAGGTGATAAAAAAAAGGAAATGGCGCGACATTGTAAGCGAACTGTATCTCATATTTATGTAAATTTTTGGATTAACAATTGCGCAAGTGTGTTTTTGAAATACGGTGCCAGGCGATGAATAAATAAAAATTGATGGAGCAATTTGCTAGATTAAAAATCTGCAATCCGGCAACATTTAATGTAGTAGTTGCCTACTTTTATTTTTGGCGCACACGCGTTGTATTCAATTCACCAATTTTTTCTTTCACATTCAGTGCGATGTTATTTATGGCCCGAAAATGTCAAGTCTTGTTGTTCCCGCTGGTAGCGTGGCTTAAACTTTAATGTCAAATGGGTAAAGCTCTACCGAGCCATGAGAATGAATGGGCCCAGTTTTGAACAGTGTTGCATGAAGTCCATTTCAAAAATAAGCTAGTTGCAATAAACTTGCCAAAAATAATCAGCTGTACAGGAAATGTCTGCCATTCATTCAGTAAAGTCATTTTTTTATGATTTCTTGTGAAAGTATCTAGAAAGTCAAGGAGACACCCCTATCTCGTGTATTCAATTCAATATGGCTTTCTTGATTTCCTGTAAAAATAGCCAAGTATAGCCTTTAAAACTCTGCTCTGGCAGTTCTAACTATATCCAAAAGACACCGAAACCTTCAGAGTAGCATATTGGCTTGGAGCAGATGACAGATAAGATTTGTCGGAATTCAATCGGAGCTTCAGCGCCTATGACGGGTCTACAAAACTAGGCCTAAACAAACAAACCGAGCGGAATTGGTAAAAAAATAGGAAAAATATTTCATGCCCCATAGCCACGGTTGAGGGATTGAAAAATTAACATAATTGCAGTATAATAACGGAGTAGGTCCCTTGGGGTAAGAGTGCGTTGCCCGCCCAATGGGGCGTGGTTAATGGGCGTGGCCTTGTCAGTCGTTTGCGGCATGTCCACACCTAAGCAACGTTTTTTGGAGAGCTCCGTTTGGGCGGCGGCCTTGTTTTTGTTAAGTGGATTGCAACCAGCTCCCGGAGTTGTGGGATTCGGGATTAATTTGATGAAGGTGCCCGCCGAAAATAAAGGACTCGAAGCTTGCATTCTCGCCCTACTTCGAAAGTACTTTGAGTCTGGCGATGGGCTCTCTGGTTCGGTGCTTTGCTTTAATCGAAATTATCAGCTACCATATCTGCAAGACCAAATATTAAGGGGCATGAACTCGTATGAGGGCTATCCATGGAGTCTTTTGATTACTAATTTCAGAGAGAGTTTCTCATCCTCGGAATTGCAGATGCAGGAAAAGCCGCAGTGCTATTTCTTAATTGTGGAAAGTCTGGAGGATGAAGACCTGGATGAGGTGTATGAGCATTGGAAGAATATGGTGAACTGGAATCCATTGGCCCAGTTTGTAGTCTTCTTGGCCACCACGGAGGAAACGGATGAGGAAATGACTGATGTGATGGTTGAGGTGCTCCTCACATTTATGAACAAGAAGATCTTCAATGTGAATATCATAGGCCAGAGCGAGGAAAATGAATTCTTTTATGGAAAGTCAGTATTTCCGTATCATCCGGATAACAATTGTGGTAACCGTGTAATTTCTGTAGAACTACTTGATGCCTGTGATTATGTTGGTGATGAAAATGAGGAGGAAGATGAAGACGATGGCGATGGTGAGCAAGATGGTGAGCAGGAGGAAGATGGAAGTGATGGTGAGCAGGAGGAGGATGGCAGTCAGGAAAATATAGACAAAAATGCTTCAGAAGATACAGAAAACGATCAACCAGATATACCAGAAAATGGTAATGAAAGTGGGGAAAAAGATTACAATGAAAGTGAAGTTGGAGAAGCAATTGCCAGTGAAGAAAGCCAGGATATTAGTAATGAAACTGAAGTAACCACTGAAGAAAATCTCAAGAGTACCAGTCAAGAATCTATACCTGATTATGAACAAGATCAGAAACCGTATGATTATGAATCAATAAAGCCCAATGAAAAAGGCGAAGAAAATGCTCAAGACAAAGCTGAAGACGAAGGGAGTTCCAGTGAAAATATATCTAATGAACAAGATTTTTATGCAGACAACTATCAAAACTCGGAAATAAATGTTGTTCCCAGAAACCATGACAGTATGTTGGTCAATAAAGTATTTGCGAAATACTCAGGGACATACGATAGCTATGAAGATATTTCCGTTGCACAAAATAGCGCTCAGAATGAGAGTTCAACATTAGATAAAGCTTTCAATAAAACCGAAATTTCCAGCGAGGATCTGGGAAACCAATCCGAGGAAAAAAGAGACAACTCAAATGTTACAGAGCCAGAAGTCATCATAGAAGAGTTTTATCGGGCCAAGTTTGAGGACAAATTCCCACGCGATCTCAGTGGATGTCCTCTAACAGCTGCCTTCCGTCCCTGGGAGCCATATATTTTTCGCACCGAAGTTGACGAAACAACAGACGATTATTATTACGGCGTGGGCACTGGAGAAGATTACAATGAGACCTCAAGTTATGGGGACTCGGATGACGAAAGCTATGTAGATCCGGAAGCAGATTATGACAATCCCGCAGAAGACACAGAGACGGAAAGTACTCCAAAAGTTAAGCTCAACGGGATTGAATATGAAATGGTACAGACCATAGCCGAACGTTTACATGTAAATATAGAAATGCAAAAGGAAAACACCAATTTGTATCATCTTTTTCAACGGTTAATTGATGGGTAAGTAAGGATTTAAGTAATAAGCTTTTAATCCAAACCAATTCCTGTATCTAATATCTTTAGTGAAATCGAAATGATCGTGGGAGGCATCGACGAGGATCCCAGTATTAGCCAATTTGTATCCAGCTCAGTGTCTTATCACCAAGATGACCTTACTTGGTGTGTCGCCAAGGCAAAACGGCGATATGGATTTTTTAACTTTGTGGAAACCTTCAATGCTGATGCTGGATTTTTAATGGGACTGTTTGTGGTTGTTTGCTCCATTGTGGTTCTACTGGCGCAGCGGGTATCCCGATTCCGCTTGCGAAACCTCAATGGATATTTCTCTATTTGTTTGAGGATAACGGGGATTTTGCTGAATCAGGCCATTCCCATGCAGGACTTTCCTCTGACTCTAAGGCAGCTGTTCGCCATATCCTTTCTAATGGGATTTTTCTTTAGCAATACGTATCAGAGTTTTCTTATTAGCAGCTTGACCAACCCACGCAGCTCCTATCAGATTCACACCCTGGACGAAATTCATAGCCATGGCATGGTTATTATGGGCACTTCCGAAAACGTTCGCCACTTTAATAAGGAAGGGGAGGTACATGTTTCAGCATATAATTTATTTTTTCATCTAACCTAGTAACCCACATCTTTAGGTTTTCAAGTACATTCGCGAGAAATTCCAGATGTGCTATAACATAGTGGACTGCTTGAATGATGCCGCTCATAATGATCATATTGCGGTGGCCGTTTCCCGACAGCATTCCTTTTACAATCCCCGAATCCAAAGAGACCGACTTTATTGCTTCGATCGGAGAGAATCCTTGTACGTCTATCAGGTGACCATGTTGCTACCGAGAAAGTATCATCTTTTACACCAGATTAACCCCGTAATTCAACACATTATCGAATCGGGTCATATGCAAAAGTGGGCCAGAGACTTGGACATGCGGCGCAAGATTCACGAGGAGATCACACGCGTCAGGGAGGACCCTTTCAAGGCCCTGACCTTCGATCAGTTCCGAGGAGCGTTTGCATTTTCTTTTGGCCTACTATTAATGGCCAGCTGTGTGTTTTTCATGGAGTGCCTTTATGTGAAGTGCTTCAATAGAGCTAAAAAGAGAAAGTTGCTTAAAAAGTTGACCAGTAAAACCAAAACAAGAATATAAACAATTAATATAAACATACACAAAATATAACGATAACGTTTTCAGGTAAAAGTTGATTAAATGTTAATTAAAAATGATTTTATACTATAAACTTTAAAATGTTATAGTTAGTTATAAGTACTGTACCAATCCTTTATAAACCTAAGAACTTGACTAAGGCTAATTGTTAGATTAATTACGCTTGCTTTTAATATGTTTATTAAACAAAGAGTTGGTATAAAAATGTATAAAGTTATTTCCACAAAAAGCATACGCCCTGTTGAACAATATGCAAATAAATTTGAAAGTGCAAGTCTACAGTCGAAGTGTCAATCGAAGTCTACATATATGATTGCTAGTGGTTGCAAAGATATACATATGTACTATATATCTTTCTATAATACCTTATTTTATTGTTTCTCTAAATCTACATCAAAATCTGAAAAAATTATAGCTTTAATAAATCAATCCGTTCTTAATTTACAAAACTATCACTTCAGAAACCTTTCGCCTGAAATGTCCTTTCCTTCTGTGTTATTGATTATTGTGTTATTTTATCTTAATCATAATCCCTGAATGTGAATCCAAATGGATGTATTGCATTAAAAGCATTAAATAAAAATTAAATTTTGAAGATGCTAAGATTTGGACCCAACAGATACTTAAATATATGCATATATATTAATATTTTCTTGGCACTTTATTCGATTTAAAAATACAGAATTGCAATACAGCGTGGAATGCACGTCTGCTCCCCAGCCTCCCGTATTTAAATCCGCACCCGTACCCCCTAACCGGGACCCGGATCCGTACCCGTGCCTCCACCCGTCACCCGGTACCCGGACCCGGTTGTCAGAAAAGTGAACAAGCGCGCACGCCGCCAACGTCAAGCTGTCGTCGGCATTCGCCTCAGTCGCCTGGCGCATCCTTAAAAGGTGGTGGCCCAATGTGCCGACCAGGCCTGTTTGTTAGTTAGCTTTCTGTGCGGTTCTTTCAATTTTCTGGCCTGCTGCTGCTGCTGCCCCAACCGAATCCCAAATATATATGGCTTTCATAAATTTTTATAAATAATATTCTTGGGCAGCACATTTGTTGCAGTATCATCAAATTGGCAGATTTTTTGTTGTTGGCCAACACAATTCAATCAGCTGCTAGCCAGCTAATGTGGGCCGAATAGAATGTTGTTGAAAATACACAGGCGATAACGTATAGATATGTACTACATATATATATGCACAGATTGTATTTTTATATTGTTGCTGGCCAACTAAGCGCTGCGGTTGACTGAATGAATGATACGTAAATGATGCCCAACAAGGCGTTGTGGAAAGCTGGCCGTCTACTCATAGTTTGATGATAGTGAGGAAATGAGGTGAATGAATGTCTACTAAAAATACTATAATGACATTTTTTATTTTTTACCAATGCCAATGTTTCAAACTATAAATAATATTATACCCTTAATCCTCATATGTATAAAAGACCCACACCTTTAATAAAAAAAGGATAGTACCCTATATTTCTTTTCCCACAGAGTATCCAATTAGCCTTATTGAGAAATGTCGTTTCCTCACCTGCGATAACTGGCCAATCGCATATTTATCTAAAATTAAATATATGAAATTTGTGAGTTCTTCTAATTAAAAATAGAATTCCATACTCTAGATACGTTTCTGCGCGTAAGCGTCAAAGAATCTCTTGCAAAAACGTGAGAGCGCACGTTTATTTTTGCTTTTTCCTTCGATTTCCATCTCACAAACAAATTTTTCCAACCCACCCACTCGCACAAACACTCTTAAAAACTGAGAGAATTGTGTAAACAACAAACGCATGTTTTCCATTTTTTTGTTATTATTTTTAAAAATTCCCTAAACACCATATAAGTCAATTAAAATTTTGATCATTAACTGAATGAATTTTAATGATCTCGTTTATGATTAATGAGAATTT